TCAAAGATTAGAAAACCTGGGAATTTCCCATCTGCCCCTTCCCGCATTGTCTCCAGACATCAAGCCGAGAGCACATGTGGGATGCGTTGCAGAGAAGGCTTTTCGATCACCATCCGCAGCCAGTTGACCTGCAACAACTGAGTGCAGCGTTGCAAAATCTATGGAGCGAAATTCCTTATGAAATAGTGAAACCTTATTGATGCCTAACAGAGGTTTTAGCTAACAGAGGAATGGTATTAATTGTTTTTAAAAAAATAGTGCGTCCAAAACAAAATTATGGTCTTAAAGCCTTTTATTTTGTTATTTTTCAAAATACCTTAATTAAATTTTCCTTCAGTAAAAGGCATAATAATTTTTAACAAATCTTAATGCAATTTACATTAAAAACCAAATAAAAATGTTAGGGGAAGTAAATGCTACAAAATTGGCAATACCCCAATTCATTTTTCAGCAGTTTATATATCGTAATAGTCGTAAATAATCTTTTAAAAAAAATTCAAAACAATTCAATATATTCTGCTATGTGTAAAATTACGTTTTGTGATTGTACAATTCAAAATTATTTACAGACCTTTGTTTGGTTATTGCAAAGTTTTTATTGGATGATGTAGAATCTCAATATCTATCAAGTAAACAAACAAAAAGCAATGTGTTCGTCACAAATAACAAGAGCCATAATTTCCGTGTTCCGTTCTGTTAGAATGAGTTTCACAATCTAAAAAGAGAGACTTTTCCACCCACGAAACGGGAATCAATTTATGTTTCATGTATTCAATATGTTGAATTTCATAATTAAATGGAGGAGTCGGTAGAAGCATTGTGATTGATACACAGTCGAGTGGTTCTGGAAGTGGTTTTTGGAACAAAAGGTCCTTCAGGCTCACTCCTCCGATCCCCTCGTCCTCCAATCGCAAACGGGGGCGGGGATCAATCAGCGCTTTTATCGCATAATATGGGAGTTGAGTCAATAAAAATGACCATATTCCTTTTTTTAATTTCTTGTTCATTTTTAAACTTGTTTTATACTCTTATTTTTAGGCTTTTTTGAAGGTTCAATTTAATTTTTTTTAAATCGTCCACTTGTGCCATTACCATACTTTTTGTTATTAAAAATTTACAATGTTGTTTCTACTAATAATAATTATAATAACTTTTAATAGTATATACCTAAATAAATAAAATTAACATAAACAAAAAGTAAATATTGTGTACGTGCGCTGGTCGGTCGCAATGGAATAATGATAGGAAGAAAGGAAAAATAATAAAATAAAATCGGACTTACTCTTAGCGTGGTCGCAGCGTAGCTCGCCGTGCTCGTAACTGCAGCCAGGAAGAGAACTGCTGCTGTGACAAATTCCACCCTATTCTTTGGCCAAAGGAGAAAAAGGAAATTTATCCAAGCTTGTCCTACCTTGAGGGCCCCTTCCGAACCCAGTGCGATGTGAGGCTACAGAAGGGTTCAGGTCTGAGAGCTGATGTGCACGAATGGCCTGATAGGCAGAAGGGATAAGTCCATTCGTCATGGTATTGAGGGTGAACTACTTTATCGGTTCGTGAGAAGAAGGACGCCCGAAAATATGCCGGATACTGACTTGCCTATTAATTTTCTGAATGTCGGCGTATGCAGCCACGGCATGTAATCGAATAGTCAATCATATATCTGCGATGTCCTTCTGGAGTTTCGGTCCACTTAGCAACCGTTCATTCAAAGACAAACCGGAAGTGTCGGGGTCTGAGGCGTTAAATCGACTCTTATTTTAGTCCTCGAGCTGCTTAGTTTCCTGATCACATGGAGCCAGGATAACTTAATCTGAGGGGAGATTAGAGCGACTCATATGTCCAAGGTGCTAAGTACATAAATGTTATATATGTGGAGAGGTTGTCAGGGGAATGTTGTCAGCGGACTTCGAATCATTTGAAGTAGTCAAGAGTACGGTGGAAATTCTTTCCGATAGGCTAGCATCCGGGTTTAAAGGGGAGAGCGGCGACGTACCTTCTTACATCAATAAAATGGCGTTTAGCCAAATTTTCAAGAGGGTCGTTCTTCGACGATGTATATGACATTCTCAGCTTTCCAGAATTTTTTAATTTCCAGGTCGAGCGTTTCCAAGGTTAATAGAGAGAAGGGGCGTTGTTGGTCAGGATGCCGGCGGTGGAACGAATGAGCCAGACAAATGTGGTTTTGATCGCTCCACTTTCCTGGCAAAGAACCGCCAGGGACAAGGATTTGGGAGGTGTCAGTGAGTGACACAACATTAACAAATGTCATGTATCCTGTGTTTTAATCTCTACACGCTGGACGCTACATTGTGACGCCATGACCATCCGGAACGAGAGCCCGGACAATGCCGATTAACACTTGAGAGAGTGACGATGGTGGTCAAAGAGTCGATCATCGAGTGAGATTGAGGCAGTAATATTCGACACAGGTGGATGTAATAGTGTGGAGTTTATTGGCTGAATATATTTTACATACCGACCTAGACGTGCATTGATCACGAGATTGCTTACCCAGACAATTAACACATCCATTGTGATTTTTTTTTAAATTAACTTTTTCATTCAAGGCTATATTGATACATTGACATAACATTAACAAATGGGAGTCTCGACAAAACGTATAAATTAAATTCTCATATCGCTTGGACCGATTCGGAGAATTTTTTCGGATCTTCGAATCCTGAGAAACTGTTAAAAAACTTTGTTGGCGTGAAGAGATGCTATTCGTGGGAGGCTTAGAGAGTTCAAGTACTTTTACTTGTTGAGAGACAAAATTAATTAACTCTTCGTATCTGGGGATGGTGTCGGGCGATTGCCTGGATTCAAAAGCACGAATGCTATGGGAATCGATGTTTTTAAAGCTAAAACAGCATGGGTTCCGAAACTTCACCCCTCTTACCCTAAGTGACTTTGAAGAATTGCTCAGCTTTGGGCGTAAAAAGAAAGAAAAAAGAAAATAGATTTAGATATATCATTCCATAATCTATGAGATTGGCAGTGACACTGTGTATCCGGCAAGTGGAGAATCGTTTATCAGCCTAATGTACACTTTTAGGATATCGAAATAAGATGTATCACAGATTGTCCATGAAGGGTGTGAAGCCATTATACAAAAACTGAAGGAATTCGTGAAGGTATGTCTAAAGCGTTATACCAAGTATTCCCCACATCTCCCAGAGAAAATGTCTACCAAAACGTCCACAGTACGAAATGACGTTCAACATTGTATAAGAATTGTCTGCCTAAGGTCTTGTAAACATTTTCATACAAAGTCAAACGATTGTCTGTAGTCATGTATAGGGAGAAACCACGCTCAAGGTGGTTCAGTGTTAATCCAACCACTTATTCACAGACTATAGTGACTTCTCCCGCTTGCCCCTTCCGAGGGGGTGGGTCAACATCTATGCACCCGACCGTGTGCCGCATCAGCTGATTAACCCAACTATCTAGATAGAGAAGGCAACTCTATCTCCCTGAGTGTAGGGGGCACCAGCGAAGGAACTACCAGATCTTCTCCGATATTCTTCTATAGCAAGCCTATAAAGAAAGGCACCTCCGAACAACAGGCTCTCCTCTAAGTACCAGCCAGGGACCTCACCTTTGGCCACTTCGATTCGATTCCCACATAACGCTACCGCGCTTGGAACTTGGAACACTCTTGCGCTATCCTATAGTTCAGTTGGTTATGCACCCCTGTTTACATACAGGATCTGGTACCCTAATCCCTCTGTGTTACGATCGAGAACCTACCCTCCGTCAGCTGATTCTGTATGCATTCGAGTGACTCTGTAGGCGTAGACTTCGCATCTTAGCATGCTTTACGCTTCCTTCGTTCGATCTTCCATATGCGCAAATCATGCGCACAAGGTCACGAATACTCTTCGTGCTTTAGAGAGTTCGCCACGCTCTGGGCTACGCCATTATTTTGAGTCTGGAAACCACCTTGCATCCATTGAATCCAACGGTTAGGAGAGGAATATGCCGTAAGACAAGGATTGAGGAAAAGTACGTCCGAGAACGCGAGGTTCACCTTTACCCGGGCATAATATACCATCCTTTCGCACGGTAATCCCCAAGTATTGAGGTACGGTCCCAGTGTAGACGAACCTAGTACACTTTTAGAATATCAAAACAAGCTGTATCATAGATTGTCCATGAAGTCATTATGAAATCACTGAAGGGTTCGTGAAGGTATGTATAAAGCGTTTTGCCAAGCGTTCGCCACAGATGCCAGGTTACGCACCAAAATGTCCGCATGTCGAAATGTTGCGCAACATCATACAAAAACTGTCTCGTGTCACCCATTTCAACTGGAGTCAAAAGATCTGCGATTTTGTTTGCAAAAGCTTGCACTATTCTTTGGCCAAAGGAGAAAATGGAAATTTATCCAAGCTTGTCCTACCTTGAGGGCTCCGTCCGAACCGGTAAGATGTGACGGTTGCAGAATGTCCCGGTCGCGGCACTCGCGCTACTGTTTTTTTACTTTAATTGCTTACGGGCACGAATAAAATGAAATGAAACATCTCGGGAAATTAAAAAAAACAGCTTGAAGGGAGTAATGAAATTGGAGATGATTTGAGGCTAGCGGGACTGTAGAAAGGAAAATCGGGAGCTGTAGGTTAGATAAAACAATGGAAACTGGATGGCATCTAAAAAGAGGCAGTAAAGAAACTAAAAGGGATATAAACGGAAGCAAATTAGTTTGATGATGGTAGCTGAACGGAATCAAAACGGACAGCAAAAAATGGCGGAGTCGAGGAGACGAAAAACGAACTGTGACTGGAGGGGAGTGACAAGGGGATTAAAACAATTCGCTGGCGGGAACAACTAGTTATATATTATATTTAATTAATTATTATTACCATTATAATTAATTATAGTTACATCCATAATAAATATATAAAATATTATTAATAGAAACAATAATGTAAATTTTGTATATATACTTTTTAATAGAAACATATTTCTTGGAAAAAGCACGGAGTGGCGACTTGAGAGGAGTGAGAGGGAATCGAAACGATTCGCTTGCGGTATAACAGTCTTATATGATATAGAATTGATGATAAGTGCAACCTTATTCATATTTCAATGACAATGTTATAAAAGTAATAGACCCAGTGAATAACTTATGCCTATATCTTGCGTTGGGTGTTTTCCGCAAGAGGCCTGTCAACAGTCGTTGTGTTAGGAACAACAGTAACCGCGCTGAGAAAGTGTGCAGAAAAGGTAAGATTACCAATCATCAGAATCACCCCAAGTGAACATAACATTGCCATACACCGTTCGCTGGTATAGACCAGTCCAGAAGACCTTGATATGGCTGGGTATAGATGACTAGGCTGACCTGCGGGATCATCCCTTTCCTAGTACTTACTGTGATTCTTTGTTCGCACTCTGTCGCGGAGCTGCATCTGGGATTCATTTTCTTGCGTCCGGGATGCTCCGCGACAATGAATCTTGAATTTGGTGTGTGGCATTTTAGTATTTTTTGAATCCCATGTCCCATGTTGCGCAACATTAATTGTAAAATTTTTAGGATTAAATTTCCTTTGTTTTATATCATTTTTAATTTTATTAAATTTTTACTTATTTTTTATTAAATACTTTTTATTAAATTTTCTATTTTATTTTGAAATGTAAATTGAGCAGTAAAGCATTTACCTAATCCATAGACTTACCTTTAAATACATTCTCAGTGCCCTGGTGATGGCTGTACAGACTTTAGGAACGAACTCGGATATTATCTGTTTAGAAACTTTGAAAGTATACATGAGGCTTGCAGATGGGAATCCAGTTGCGAGGAAACGTAGAATGATTGCTAGCCTGTAGGTAGCAGAAACTGGCATCCTAAAATTCGTCTCCTTTTTCGAAATCTGTGGTCCAACCATTTCCAAAAGACATTCAAAGTCGACTGGACTCATCCAAATAAAATTTCGGAATCCCATTCCGTCTTCCAATCTAAGTGTGTCAAGAAGATCGTGCCCATGCTTATTCCGATCCTTGAATATCCCATGAACCCACCAATGTTGTGGATTTTTGTTAGCTCTTTTTTTACTCTGTAGAGCTACGTAAAGTGCTATTGCAATACCCGAGAGTGCGACCTCGTTCAACATAGCTCAGACTCAAACTAGATGCGGACACGATTTCTCGAGCGACAATGTTGCGGAGCAGAGTCTGCGACATGTATCCGACAGTCTGCGACAGGGGGTAATTGGCCAGTTGCACAGCTCGAATAATGTTCACACTTTCACCCTGGCCACCATTAAAGCTTCTGGGTTTGATGTTGCTTGTATTTTCTGTTGTGCTGGCATCTTCGGATCGTATACGAAAGCAGTGCCCTAGTTTGGCTTCTTACAAATGGTCTTTTTTTTTACAAAACACCAGCACCCCGAGGGTTCATATGATCTTGTAGTTAAAATACCATAAACTTTAATTTATTATAAGGTTATATATTTGACAAAATGAAAATAATAATTTTCTTAATAATCCTTTATTCCAACAAATTTTATGGCGTTATAATTTGATAACAAATAATACATTAGATAAAACCTTTAATGCCTTTAATCGCACAAATAATATAACATTTTTACAGTCTATATACAAGAATTTTGTTTGTTTAATATATACAATTTGGCAAGTATGTTTTACTTTTTCAAAATAAAATATGAGGCGAATGCTAAATATAATTTTAAATAAGAATTGTTTAAAAACAACTGTTTTATATTACATAATAGAAAAAAAGAAATAACATTTTACAGTACCCTTTAAAAACCACACAATTTACAAATAGTATACATACATCCTTTTAACAAATTGGAGGTCCTCCTACACAATTAGGTCAATAACGACTCAGGTACATAAATCCGATTAATGAAATATATCCTACGAAATTAAAGACTAGCTTAACTTTGATAACAAGTTGGACATAAAAACAAGTAGAAAACTCAGAAAAATAAAGATAGTCAAAGAAAAGCTAGTGTTTCATGATCTTTGAACAAACTTACACTTAAAGTTGGTTTAGTATACGTTTGTCAACCGATAATTTAAGTGAATGCCTTCTTACGTTAACAAAAAAAAATCAAAAATTGTAAAGTCAGTGGTAAGAGTAGTTCTGGTAAAAGTGTTGTCTTCATTCAGCTGTCATTAATAGAAATTAGTCCCATAAACTTGTTTGTAGAAGTGCAAAGTAATCAGTTATATTTCCAAGAGGAACGATCAACTAAAAACAGAAGACACACAACAGTTAAAATATAAAACAGCCATAAGTTATAATGCCATTAGGTTTAATACTTGTGGTATTTTTTCCTCCGTGAGGTATTTATTTATCTTTACATATATCAAAATGTATGTAATCCTATACAGTTTCATAAAATCTTGAAAATCAAAGTAAATAATAATTTTAAAATGTTGTAACATAAAAGATTTGACAATTAAAATATTGTATAAATTATAACAAAAGGTATCCATATAAAACTAAATTTATGTTTGCCTTGACAATACCAAGTAACATAACTTTTAATAGTTAATTGCTTATAGTTTGTTTATAATTATGTAAGAATTATCCCTATTACATGTTTTTCATGATAAGACTATCTATATCGTATACTTTCTATGATTATTATTAAGTCGCAGTTTTTATATACTTTGGATTTTGTTTGAACCAGTTGCATTAACATAATGTTAATACATCTGGTGTGGTGATTGTCATGGCAGCAATGACCTACCACTTGGCCTCCTGCTAATTGGAGGAGGGACTGGCGGTGGGTAAGCTCTAATTATTTCATTTCCCCTCAGGCTCCTTCTTCGTCCGATGGTTGCAGATTGGTGTCCAATGCAGGCCTCAGGGCTTCCTGAACTTCGGCTGTGCTGTCTGTGAAGACTTTTTAACGAGTCTTCATAACTTCCTCTAAAAAATAAATATAAAATTAAATAATTTCATAAATTGGTAAGTCAGTAACATACTGGCTGCTATTGGCTGAGGAATGAGTGGAGGAATGTCCACATGGACAGCAGCCATGGTGTGGCTCAACAATTCCCGAGTCCCTCCCACTTGAGTGAACACTGGCTAAGCTGTTTTTAAGCAAAGTAGTGCTTGGTGCTTTTTCAATCACTCTTCGCCGTGATTGATGTCTCGGGCAGGTTGACAGATGACGGTGCCTCCTCTGTGGTCGCCGGTATCTTTGGCAGTCCGACCTATTTGACACATAACTATCTGTAGAATCTTCAACAAATGTGTTGAGGTGGAACATCGATCTTTGCTTTGTGTCCATATGATCTTTACTATGAAACATAAGGTCCGCGCTCAAAGGCGTTATGCCAACATTGAACATGTCTTTCTTCTTCCTAAAATGACAACAAAAACCCTCTTTTATTATTTATAACTTTAAGGGTACCGAGATTTAAATTAAAAAGAAAAGATATTGAAGAGGGCCAGAAGATTTAGATAAAGAAACAGTGATAGTTTGGAAGAAAATAAATTCTGAAATTTTTTTAATGAAATCTTAAACATGAGTTAAAATAGAACTGAGACGAAAGAAAGTGAAAGTAATTCATAATTAACCACGATTTATGTCGATTATTGTAGAAAGAAAAAAATTAGGAAAATTGTACAATTTAAATTAAACTTACTACATCTATCAAAGATCAATGTGTTCCCAAATTAAAATAAAAAATGAAAGTAAAGAAATTAAATGTATATTGTTTTAAAATGTGAAAAAGTTTTAATTAAATCTTTACCAATCATCCTTGTTTGCCTAACCTCCCTAGATTGGTCTGTCAGATGTCCTTCAGTATTTCGACATCTTCAGATTTCTGTCTGAATGTGTCTGATAGACAAACCCAGTGAGGATCGGCAAACTAATCTGATCAGCAAGGATCAAATTACAAGTTCCCCACAGACCACAGGAAGAAATATCACGATGAAAAAAGTTGTTAATTAATTAGTAATGAGAATTAAGGAAATATATATTGTTATATAAAATGTGTTGTTAATAAACAATGCCCTCTATAAATATTTGAGAAAGATTTTATAAAAGTGTTACATGAAATTAAAAAATGTTAGAACTGGCAGCATTCACCCTCAATGTTAGTGGCTAATAAGTAAAAAGAGATAGGATATTTACTTTGCTTCAAGTTTTAAAATCCTTACAAACCTTCGCTTGTGAAGGCAAATTACACAGAAGACTGAAGTTACTGCACCGAGGAAGACAATGCAGCCTAGAGCAATTGTCGCAAGTTCAAGCCCTGATAAGTTGATATAGCTCTGGGAATAGTTTTTTTTCAAATAGTTTTCATCAGATTCTGGTAACATTATTGAAAGCATGTGGTATGGCTCGATAGCTTTTTTCACTTCGTTAGGATGTGCTTTCAAAACTCTGTGACAAATTTTATCCAACTTAAGGAACATTCTGATTTTTTAAAATAATTTATTTTACTTACTGGTTAAATGTTTCAGAATCAAGGATTACATTCATTAAAGGATCAACAGCATATAAATACATGTCAGTTCTGAAATTTCAATTTTTTTATAAACAGAAGAATAGAAATAGGAAATTTAATACTTACGCATCTTTAGAATCATGTGGCTCCAATTTCCTTACCCTTACATCCAATCCAGTGACGTTTGAAAGAGCTCTGTAATAATATTTTGTTAAATCGATCGATGGTTGAATCCAATAATTAACTATGACAGTTAACTTACCCTGTAATGTTATCTATGTTATGTTCGATTTCAAGTAGCTTAGCACCCATCACCATCACAATTTTTTTTTGCTCATCAAGAACATAAACCTGCAACAAAATGGAAAAACGTTTAACACATGTCGAAAAACTAATATACACTTTTAAAAATAGTTAGCATACAAAAACATTGGCTATGGTAGAAAGGCCATCGTCCATGCCCCTTCGATCTGTAGCTTTAACGTCGAAACCGTACACTTTTCCGCTTTCACCTTCAAAATTCATTATTGCTCTGACTTGACCACTTATTGGATCGATGGCGAATTTTGTAGGCTCAGAGTCGTCTCTGGTCAGCATGTGATATCTCACTTGACCATTGATTCCCTCATCATTATCTGTCGCCTGAAAGCAAATGTTTTAACACAAAATCATTAACAAAATTTTAAAAAAATTATTACATGAAGCCTTATTATTGGATATCCATATGTGGCTGTGGTTGGGATTGCAGCTACATAAGGCCTACCACTAGTTTTGAATTTGGGTGGGTTGTCGTTTACATCTTTCACTCTTACAATTACTTTCACTTCATTGCTGTCTAAAATTACAATGTTGAAATTATACCCAAGGTGCATAAATCATACAAATTATTGCAATAACTTACTCAGATCATTGGGATAAATGGGATAAACTACATGTGCCATATTTTTGGCTCTTTTGATTAATGTAACTTTGATTTTAGCCTGTAATATGTGAACGACCTCTCTATCTGGGCTTACTGTCAAATACAGAGTACCGTTTTTTTGATTTATCAAGAATGCACTCATATCCACGGTTGGAATGAGGCTGAATTTATAGTCCATGTCATTGTTGGTGACATTAATTTTAAGAAGTTCCAAAGGAACTGCACAGTTTTCTTCAACCTGAAATCAACATATTAATTATTAAAAATCTAAAAACTAATCATATGTCAAGAAAACTATACCTCCAGTTCATAATAATTTACAGGAACTAATGTTTTAACAGTTTCCTCAACATTTTCTACTACATCAACTACAGTAACTATTAACAGGGCTGTTGAGCTCATGCTAGGTTGACCAAGGTCCGAAGCAATTATGGTAACGTTGTGAGAGCTTTGCGCCTCATAGTCCAGAAAAGTTGTTACAGTAACAACACCCTCTTTATCGATTGCAAACAACTGTCTGTGATTTTTCTTTCTAGGAATGTCATATAGAATAATTCCATTTCCGTTATCAGGCAAATCAGAATCATTTGCTAGGATCTTTGCAATGGGAACGCCAGGTGCACTGTTTTCAACTACTGAAGCAAAGTAGACTGGGATCATAACTGCTGGTTCATATTGTTCCGGATCAAAATCAATGCTGCTGTATTCTGATGGTGCTGTTTGTAAAACTCTGTCAAATCCATAAAAAATAGGTGCATTGTCATTTATATCTGAGATGTGTATGACAACTTCCGCTGTAGCTCTTTGCCTTTTTTCTAAAGGCCCATTGTCTTGAGATAAGATTTTAAATGAATATCTATCTTTGATTTCTCTATCTAAATTCCCTGATATATGTATGTCGCCCTGACTTGTTATGCTAAAAGGGAGATGTGTGGTGTTATCTCTTTTCTGCAAAATTGTATAACTTATGTTTCCATTTGCACCGTAGTCCTCATCTTTTGCCAATACTCTTCCCACAAGAAATTTGTTATAATTACCTTCTTGGATGGTAAAATCATACCGGGCTTTATCAAAAACTGGTGGGTTATCATTTACATCTTCAATGTTAAATCTTACAACAAGCCAATCTTTAAGACCTCCTCCATCGTTCACAGTGAAATTAACAAGAAACTCAGACTCTGGTGGCAAAAGAGCAGCAACTGTGACCTCTCCATTCATAGGATGAATGGCAAAGTGATGTGTGTTGAACACTTTTGTAAATGGACCTTTGGGAATAAATGTCTCACTGTCGACAACATACTTGAGTGTGGCGTTATCGCCTAAATCTTTATCGACTGCAAGAATTCGGAAAACAACCCTGCCTATCTTTAGCGTCTCTGGCAAAATAATTGTGGTGAAGTCTTTTTTCTTTCTGTTGTCTTTGGGATATGGAATGGTTTCATTGCCCAAGACAATCTGAAGAGCACGTTTTGACCCTGGGATAACTTTTATCGTACCTTCATGAGGTATAAGCATCTGCACAAATTGTGGTGTATTATCATTGACATCGTCAACATGGATTGTCAGTTTTATTTGAGAACTGAGGTTTCCTAAAACAAAAATCAATATTACAAATAAAACTAATGGTTTTAAGTCCTATACTCCGTTTGATTATTGTTTAATTGTTTTCACCATCAATATTTACCAAAATTATATAAGGTGAACACTCATTAAATATAAAATACAAAAATATTTTAATAAACGAATTATAATCATGTTAAAAATTGGTTTGCTAGAGTAATTAGCCTTTTCAAGTTAAAAAGAAATTGTTACCTATACAGTTGGTTGTTACCGATCAATTCTGTTTGCTTATTCTCACTATTTTTGACTGCCAGTTCAGCGATATTCGCAGAAGTATTCTTACTTTGGGAAAAGAAACTGATGATCTTGCAGAACGCATCTGACAGTCCTACCAAGTGAAGATAAGCAGGCCAAAATTATTTGGATAACGACCAAATTCCAAAACCCCCTTTTTTATTAATTTTTTTCTTCTATTTTTTAAACGAGTGTTCGGTCGTCGTTGAATTCGGTACCAATAATCTTCTTCCTGTTGGAGTCAAGGATAAAAAAACAAACATGATTCAAGAACTCGGCACCAGCTCGCCCAAAGTTTAGAAGTAACCATTATTGAACTCGGCACTCAAGTTTCATTGTCATTATAGTTATGTAGCTGACCTTTTATCGTCAACTGATCAGTGGACGGACGGGAGATGTTGTTAGTTAGTGTTGGAAAATTTAGATTTTTCGAACGAACTGTCATCAGGAGAGAATTTCTGGCGAAGTTATGTTGAACAGAATACAGAACTGCTTTGTAATTTTTACATGTAGCAGAAATATCATCGCATTTTGTGATTCGAACACTATTTATTGTGATGTAACCTTTGATAAATGGATAAATGTGACAAATATTTCAAATAGTTCTTCACTTTGCATACCACCAGACATCAGTCGTATGTCCATTAGTTTAATGTTTGCTGGCACAAGAAAAAAACAAAGTATCTGATGTAGTTTTTGAAGGATTCATGGCCAGAATTTAGTCCGAAAAAGGTTATTGTCATTTCGAGATTGCCATTCACAACAGTGGCCGGAAAGTGTGGCCTACAGGTCTACAACGGAAATTGTAGGCTGCATAGATAGATATTTATCTTAGCTTGGTTCCGTAAAATTCAAGAATTAGGGGTAACGACCACAAAAGCAACTGAAGTAGTTTGCCTTTTGTATCTCCGGTAGATGTTGGTGACTGTTTGGTGGAAGACCTGATTGCCGATATGCTCAAAACACGAAATGTACGTAATTGGTGGAATAACTCGTAGAAACTTACATTTCCGAGTCAGCAACATTTCCTCCTGCCATTTGATGATAAAAGTAATAAACTAAATGATAAAATTGAATAAGTTGTAAAAAGGCCTATATCAAAGACTTATACCAATTCAATACCAATTGTAGTACATATGCTATACTTTTTAATTTTGTTTTCGACTGTAAATACACTCAACTTCATGTTCCCCTCTTCTCTCTTTTACTTCTTCGTCGAAGTTCTTGATGCCGAATTTAATAATGTACATTGTGGTGTAATAATGTAACCCAGAACCACTGTGCCATATTTAATGATCTCGAACCGGCTTAGCGCTAAGTAGTACAGAGTAGTTGGCCGCACGAGTGTCGCAACTGCAGAGGCCATATCAAGGTGCCGTTGTTTTAGAGCTGGATTCGTACCCGAGACCCTTACCTTATAGTGATGAGCTCTAATGCCTAAACCGTTGCAGTCAACGACACGACTATCTATTATTATTATTGATTATTATTTCAATTAATTATTCTTTTTAAGTAAGAAATTGGTTGAGATGTAAAAGTTAGCGTCACGAGCGGGATTCGAACCGACGACCTTCGGCTCAAAACGCTGATGCTCTAACCATTTGAGCTATCGTGACTTCCATCCACTGGGACACCAACTCCCCATCTCAAGCTATAGCCTTTCGATTTTTCCTTTTTTTTGCCATTTTTCAAAAATTGTTTTTTCATCTCAACCAAGACCTTACATAAAAATAATAATTAATTTAAAAAAGTAATTTGGTCAATTAATAATGGATTAATTATTACATAATGTGTACCTTTATCTTTCGCCACGAGTGTGAGTGAATAAGTTTCTTTAGTCTCCCTGTCTAGTGGGGCTTTCAAAACGATTTTTCCATTTCTAGTCAGTTGGAAAATCTCACTTCCATCGCCTTGTAGGCTCACGATAAATTCAGAATTAGGCCCTTTGTCTGGATCTGTTACTCTGATGATATGATCAAGTCTGACTTCACATTCTACTCTGCAATCTTCCCTTATATGCCCTTCATACCAGTTTCTATCAAACATTGGTGCGTTATCATTTTCATCCTCAACAGTCACGTGAACCTGTAAATGTATTCATAATTAAAATATAAATATATAAAAATTGCCCTGTGTTAATTACCTGATAGTATCGATCGCCTCGCCCATTGTGGACAATTACTGTGAGAAAATAAGAATCCCTGTATTCTCGATCTAGACTTCTTTGTGTGTACAGAGTGCCGTCTTGCGATACAGCAAACATTGAACTGTCTTCATGGTCAGTGATTGAGAATTTCAAGGGTTTATTTCTCGAGTCTTTTCCTGGACCTACTACAATGCGACCGACCATAGCTCCAGATATATTTTCTCTTACTTTGAACTCCAACAGACTTGTCTTATCCATACTGAAAGGTTAAAATTTTTAAATGGATTTTTAATTTCTTTATCAAATTTTCTATTTGTTTAAAGTTAACTTACTTGCTCATTTGTGACTCGACTATATGAACTGTAAGATTTGTGACTATCGAGACACTCCTATCATCAGTGACAACTGCCTCAAAATCATATTTATTATGCTCATATTTACTTATTTCATCGATAACAGATATTGTTCCGGATCTTTCCTCGATTGCAAAAGGTACTAAACAATAAAATAAAATGTATTAATAAATTTGTATATTTAAAATGTTTAAATATGTTCGGTAAATTTCTAGATTTTATTAAATAAAAATACAATTCCTTTTCTGACAAAACAAAGTTTTTATTTATTTTCAAAGACAACTGTCTAGTTGCCTATCAACTTGTTAACAGTTATTTCAGCTTATTGCAATCAATTAGCAAGATTTAGGAAGAAATGTCTAATTTTTTCTGATTTGATTTTTTGTTTGTTTTTGAAATGCAAAATTTTCATCAAACGTGATTGCTTGAATTGGGGGATTTTGTGACGTAAAAGGATGTGAGATTACCGATTTTCATAAAACTAATTTGTGGGTGATACTAAGGACAAAAATTATTAGATATTCCAAGATTCCAAGCTTTGAAACCAAAGGGCCCTAGGAGACGATAACAAATATTTTAGGTACTAATTTAAATATTTTTTGAAACGTGGTTTTGTGCCTTGTGCATGTATTTCTAGATTATTATATACATCAGTCGACTTTTTTAAACCTAGGATAAGAAAATTATATGCAAGATCGTATCATATGAGATTGGCTACATAAAAAGTTAGAAAAACAAATTTTCAGTAAAGTACGCCAAAAAAATGGTTTTGTAAAAAAGAATCGGATTAGTTTTACGCATCCTTTGAATACAAATTTTTGTACCAAATAAAAATAGACATTTTTGCGCTGAATCAGCAAGGGAGCAATTTTTTTTTCCAGTGTCCAGTGTTCCATTTTTTTTTAATATCACAAAATAGTAATGACTTTAAAACAACCTCACCCATCCATAGGAATTTTTACAGAATTTTAGAGCACGACCACCTAGACGTAATGTCAAACTTGACCTCCAAAAATAAATCTTAACCGAAAATATAAAATAAAAAGTTTAAGAAGGTTTTTGGATGTTATCCTTAGTTTTCTCACTTATAAAGAAATAAAACCCACAGGTTGTTGATAAAGAATATATATAGCTGCATAACTGTCGTCAAAGCGATGAATTTGGAAAAAAGGATAGAAGTTATGAATTTTTTAGTGGAATACAATACACCGTAGAAAACAAATTTTTCAAAAACAATTTTTTCGGTATACTTTCTTTATAGCGTTTTTGTTTTCACAGCATTATATATAGTATTATTTTAATACAATCCTGCATATTATTTTCTTATCCTAGGTAGCAGCAGAAAACTTTTTTTTTTTTTTGGCATTGACCTTTTGTCTTCAGCCATGTTTGTTATTATTATTATTTTTTAAATTTGTTCGTTATAAATTATTTATAAGCTGCAACGAGTTCGTTTGACAAAATTGATCAGGGCCTGATAAACATCGAAGTCTTCTGTACATATTAAGAATTTATAATTATAAGGTTTTGCTATTTCGCACTGGTCTATCTCACCGAACATAGTCTTCCTTATATAGCATATAAGCATATATATATATACCTTTATAACAGAAAACTGTTTTCAAAATTATTTAAATTACCTAAAATATTTTTTTTTTCTTCTCGCCCCCAAGGGCCTATTGGCAAGGAAGCTTGGGCACGTATCTAATATTGTTTTATCTGAAATAAACAAAAAGCACTATGGCATAGGCATCAAATCTCGTTTAATTTGTATTATAATCATCCTAAATAATTTTCATTCTTTATTGAAAGATATATCTACACTCACAACTTTTGTTAATATTATACTATTTGATATATAATTGGTCTTACTTTAAGTCCAATCGAAAGTTGTTTTATTTGAATGATGTTTACCTCCTTCATGGTAGCTATGAAGAAGATCGAAGATGGCCCTGGATTTGTCAATTGCTTCCGTCACTCTGACTTGTCCAATGCTCGTTCCAACCGGGACGTCGTCACCAACCCAAAACTCGTAAGGGGCGCCAACAAAATCCGGAGGAATATTCATTTTATCTGTTGAACAATGAATAAAACATTACCAAAATAAAATACATTTTCATAAGCTGCTATAACAACAAAAATCTGTTCTTATACAGCAGTGATTACAAAACCGTCTGCTGGAGATGGTGGCCGAGGGGAATTTAGGTGAATAGAAGATATTATGCACATTAAAAAATAAATAAATACAATTTAAAAAAACCATTAGCGCTTCCGAGTATAAAATTAAAAATTAAACTGCTTCAAGAGCTCTTTGCAGTACGTCAGTGCAATTTTTGGAAAACCAAGAATTACTAATACACTTGAATGAAAATCGCAATTAGTAGTAAGTGTGAATGTAGTAATTTTAAGCGTTTTGTAAAATTAAAATGTAACTTGAACTGTTGTATTTCTGCCCTCAGCCCTGTTTGAGGAAATCACTAAAATTGACGGCACATTGGCATACAAAATAGGGTTTTTCTTTTCTTTTATTTTGCACATCTGCCTGACATTATTCCAACCTTCAAAAGATTTTGAATCATAACTGTCATTCACTCTATGTTAAAAACTAAATTTAATGTTACGTAGCAGAGAAAATAACAGCAGGTTGAACTAGACCAAAGTAATTGTGACTTTCGAGTATAAATTTTCTTTTTTGAGGTGAGATGTGAGAAATCGTTTGGGCATGAAGATATGTACTTACTTTTTTCAATTTTTGGAGATCTTTTTACTCACAGAAGTTTTAGGCAGCATTCCAACCTTCAAAATGTTTTGAATCATAACTGTCATCCACTCACCGTTAAAAACTGAACTTAATGTTAGGTAGCAGAGAAAATAACAGCAGGTTGAACTAGGCCAAATTAATTGTGAATTTCGAGTATAAATTTTCTTTTTTGAGGTGAGATGTGAGAAATCGTTTGGGCATGAAGATATGTACTTACTTTTTTCAATTTTTGGAGAAGATATTTTTACTCACAGAAGTTTTAGGCAGCTTTCGAATAATAAATACTCATCGGTAGAGAAACTAAAACGAGGTACAGAACACTTGCATAAATCGAACTAATTTTCTGATCCGTTGAGCGACTAGTATGTATAATTTTATCGCCAATTCTGGGCTAACGAAACCCCCTACAAACTTAGTTCTAAGTTTCAGTAAGAGCATTTATTATCCAAAGCGTCGATGTTCTTGTGCAGGGTGAATAGACTACATTATGACTTCATCATCAGAATAGAGAATGATGTCAATTCTTCATTCTCGGGGCAAAACTGGATAAGGCTATATTTTGACAATTGAGATAAGTGCATAATCCGGTGTCTTCAGGCCTGACTTAGTGCTTATTACCCAGCTAGCATTTGACAATTGCATATGAGAAGCAAGGTTTGCAATCTTCCGCAGAAGGTTTCGGTCGATCGAGCCAATATCCGCCTTAAAGTGAACAAAAACCGCCATAATGTTATTTCCCCTTTTTGATTTTTCTGGGTTAACAACATTCACGAGCGAAAAAATATGGTAACCTCTCTTAAAAGCAGTCTAGAATTCTCTTAAGATATTATTTTCGCAGATGAAATCTTCCGTGCCGACAACCGACTAGAGAAATTTATGTGTTTTAAACAGTCTATCTATTGAAAGCCTGATTATTGCTAATTGTAACGTGTCGTAAATGGAAAGTTACCTGAAACGACGACGTCTATAGTAACAACTGCCAATGAGAATCTCCTTTCGCTGGGGTTGGCCGGTTGGTCTGAAGCCTCGACAAAGAGAGCCTTCCTTCCCATCGGAATAGGGCTGTCGGCGATGGTGATGGCTCCGCTTTTTGGATGTACTATGAAAGGTACGGAATGGGAGGTCTTGTTGCCTCTCTTCAGTTCATACAGGACCATGCCATTCCTGCCGAGATCGGGGTCGGATGCTTCCACCTTGCCCACCATGAAACCGATAGGCGCGACGTTGGAAATGGTGAATTCGTAAAGATTGCTCGGAACGAAAGTCGGGTTGTTGTCGTTGGCGTCCAGCAACGTCACCTCGATGTTGACATACGAATCGCTACTTGCTGAAACTAGGCTGGGCATCTTCTCTCTTGCCAGAACACGCATGTTTAGAGTCGGCCTCACCTCTCTGTCCAGCTTCGCCTGATTGCGGACTGTCAGCCAGCCGGTCCTGCTGTCAATGCTAAACGCTTGGCTTGGGTCAACCAGATGGTACACAAATTCACCATTATCACCCTAAAATAAATGAAAGAAAGTTGAGATTTGTCCAGTCGGTATTTTAAAACAGCTAAAACACAATTCACCATATTTAAGTGGTATCAAATATATAACTATCAGTATCAACTAATATAGTCCTCCAATTTAATTTGTAAATTAAATATTTTTATTAAAATACAATAAATTTATTACAAATAATAAATACAATAAATATTTTGTGATGATAATACGTTCAAGGGGAGACCCTAAGGTTGAGGAAGGACAGGAAAGATAGTTCGTGGTTGTTATTGTTCGGATCTTGGCTGAGCATGATCTAACGAACCTTCCTTCCTCTTATTCCTTTCGAAAAATTGATTTATTTTGTAAGTAAATTTGAAATTTTTTGTTGTTCTATTCTGGATACATATATCAAAGAATTTATTTTTCTTTCAATTTAAATTTTTATTTTATCAATAGTGTACCGTTTTTCTTTTCTTTTTTTTTCGTCTCAAGTTATTTATTCCATTTGATCTCACAATTTATAAATAAATATTTTTATTTTATTAAAAAAACAATATTTTTATTGTACAGTTCGATTCTAGATCTTATTTTATGCCACTTTTATTGAAAGAAAATTTTTGATAGGAACGAGTTTTGCCCGACGGAAGGCTTTATAATGTGCTTTTTTCTTTCAGTAAATGTGGCATAAAATAAACTCTAGAATCGAATTGTACAATAAAAATATGGAATTCTCATTTAAATTATCAAAGTTAGTGTCATTTCTTTTGATGAGAAAGTTAAGTTAAATCTGTTACCACCACGCTATTCCTAACCAAATTTAACTTGGGGTTTGTAGAAGACCATTTTTTGCTGAAGTTAATCGTTTCCAAATTATATGGGTGCACTATAGAAGTTCATTATACATGTAAATGAAATAATATCTGTCCTATCACTGAAGTTACGATCTAAGGCCTGCCCTAACGCATGCAATTCCTAATCCTGGACTCTTTCAAACACCAATCACTAAAGTTGGATGGTGGAGTACTCAGCTATCGCCCTTTCTACATACGATTTTAAAACTCCATGGGAGTACTCAATATTCTATCATAGGCTTTCACACTACTCATTCACGCTAATAAATGCATCCACTTTCAATAAACGCCAAAGCGTCCACAATACGAGATATCCATCATGTCTATCAGTACTATAAGCATTTCCCCTGCCGTAGCGATCCTCAATAAAAGGATTAAAAAAAGAAAAACATGAGTCCTAAAAAAGAAAGAGAAAAATAGATGAGAAAGGATTTTTTTAAATCAAAAGCGAAATAGTGGTTCTTGAAAAGAATTAGTAACTGCGACTATGTGGGCCTTCTATTTTAACTTTTGAAGGGTCGTTTGTTGTTCATCTCGAGAAATAGATGAGATAGATTGCGTTGTCATTAGTACATCAATTTAACATCATCACAATTTAATTCGGGGGTTTTGAGTAAAGAGGGAAAGAGAGAGAGAGACAGAGAGACGAGAGAGAGAGAGAGAGAGAGAGAGAGAGAGAGAGAGAGAGAGACAGACAGAGAGAGAGAGAGAGACAGACAAACAGACAGACAGACAGAGAGAGGGGTGAGAGAGGGAGGGAGGGAGGGAGTGGGAGAGAGAGGGAGGGAGAGAGACAGAGAAAGAGAGAGTGACAGAGAAAGAGAGAGTGAGGAAGGGAGAGAGACCTGTCTGCTGCCTGGCGTACATAGATGCAAGAAAGAAAATTAGGTAGGATGAAATACCATCAAGATTTTGCACTGCACCAGTTTTCTTTAAATAAAAACCTTTTCAGCTGGTGCAGCCTTAATAAAGCTGAGCTTCTTATAATATGGCACATTTTTTCAGCTACCGGTAAATGGTATACAACCCTATCACTCCCCTCAGTTTTACCCTGACTGTAGCAATGTGTTGCAGTGAGGGTTCTTTAATCATGAGTTTAATGTGTCTGGCACCTCTGGAAAAATGTTCACCCATTTGTTTTTCTGGACCATTCTGAAATGAATGGTATGGGGAAAGAAGGTTTGATCTTGTTGTCTCAAGTATAGATTCACGGCCTATAAATAGTCTTGCAGATCTTTTGCCTCGTTTCAGTTTGCCTCCTTGCACCCAGTTGTTAGGTTGTTGTCCTTTACAAGGCTTTGGAGTTTTTTGATGCATTTACTGTCTATTTGGGGGGTAAACTTTTTAGGTGCTAATGCTTTAAAGACTGCTTGGCAGTCTGAGCGTATGTAGATTTTATGTCAGTGGATTACAGTTTTACGGATTACAGAGTTTTTACGGCACGGTTGATGGTCTGCTTGAAAGACAGAGGTGAGATGCTAATGGGATTTGGGCTTGCACGGAATATACTTGACCCCATTTCTTCATTTGTTGTAGTGCCATCTGTGTATCATATAGCTATATTTGATTTTCTGCTAAATTCTTATTCTCCTAGTTCAGTCCATAGAATTATATACTACCAAAAATCGAAAATACGAAACATTCAATATTAGTCAATAGGTAGTAATTGGTCAAGCGGACCACGAAATTAGTGCATTCAATATTAGGTTTATCATTGTAATTGAATTTTCTTATAAAACGACAACAAAATAAACCACCGTATTAACGACTAAAAAATTCCACATTTCATTACTCTAGGGATTTTAAATTGTGCTGAGACCGATGAAAAGGTGTCGGTTGAATTCCTGGGGCCATAGGTTAAACAGTGGATAACTTAAACCAGTTGAAACTTTTGACTCACTTGGTCTATGTCCGCCGCTATGACTTGCAGCACGCTAAAGCCGTTGGGCAAATTTTCAACTATGCTTATGTTGTACATTTCCACTTCGAATTGTGGCTGGTTGTCGTTCAAATCGAGCACCTCCACTTCAACTCGGGCTACTCCCGTTTTCAAAGGGTTATCGAGCTGAGTCGCTTGAATCTGAAAAAAATTAATTATGTCAAAAGACTAACAAAAAAGTTCAATTACATTGTTTAAAAAAGTTCACTGTCCAAAGAGTTTGTACCAACTATTAAACTTAAATGTCCAAGCCTTATATGTAAAATTTTATGACAAATGAAATGGCCTCGGAGTGCTTTAGTGAAGTATACTTCATTTTAATACATTAAATTCGCTAATTTCGTGGTCCGCTTGACCAATTAATATCATACAATTAATTAAGGTTTTTAGTTGAGATAAAAAAGTCAATGGCCCGAGCGGGATTCGAACCCACGATCTTCGGCTAGATACGCCGCTGCTCTACCACTTGAGCTATCGCGACCTCGATCCACTCGGACACCAACTTCCCATCTAAACCCCACCTTTTGAGTTTTCCCTCCTTTTTGCCAATTTCAGCTCGCTCGTGCCATTGACTTTTTTATCTCAACTAAAAACCTTAATTAATTGTAATATATTAATTGGTCAAGCGGACCACGAAATTAGTGAATTTAATGAAGTTAAATTTATACTTGGTAGTTTCCGGTCATTCTGGTCAGACGATCGCCATCTTCAAAGAATTAGGTCTAATATAAGCCATTTTCAGTTTTTATATAAAATGGTTTGACGGTTTTTTACAATGTTTTTATATTAGACCAAAACGCGTCTGACGAAATAAATGCCTATTGTGTAAAAGACAATTTATTTTCTACCCTTCATCTTATTATGGAGTTCCACAATATCAGGATGGAGATCATCAAAAAATTCAAAAGATATGTAATAGAATGAAAGTTGGACAATCTGTAAAAATATAAATATGACATTCTTTCATTTTAAATCATGCTATTGCGTGTAAATGTGTTGATAACCTTAAAAATTATTGACACGGCGCACAACCTGAATCCGCTCTAGAGCATGTTTATCAGAGCAGCAATTTGTCTTCCAAAAAACCGAAATATCTCAAAGGCATACGAAAACTGACACTGACCTGAAGTGTGAACAGCATTCCGGGCAATGTGTCCAAGTCAATTTCTTTCTCCAGGAAAAGAGTGCCGTTCTGTGGATCCAAGTAGAAGAGATGCTTGTCATTGCCTGTGATTATGTCGTACCTGACAGTCGCGTTGATCGCCAAATCCTGGTCATAGGCCTTTATTCTCGGGGCGAAAAGCAGAGGCACATGGATTTTCTTCCCCTTTAAAAACAAAAAAGTAAAATACATGATTTAAAAAAATTTCAGTTACGAAAAGCAATCAGACATTGAAAATTTACAAGTCTTCTTTTCAAGACATTATCAAATCGTTAAGCAAGTTTCACAGGGTTATAAGACGTTTTATGTGTTAACTGTTTCATAATCCTTATAGCACAGTAAATAAAACGGAGAGGGGTCTGATTTTGCTTATTGACTGGAATTATTGGTGAACGGACGACAACCTGTTTTTATATGGACTTTCAAAAAACGAGAGTGCCCATAGCAGGTAGCCTTTCAAAAATGTTTTACGTCTTCAGGAAATACATTTTCAATGCGGAAAAATTTTATGTAATATATTTGAAGCCTAGAACTAGATGCTTTTTTACTTTAGGCAAAACCTATCTTTCTATTACTCCTACTTTTTGAGAGATTTCTACATCTAAATACGGTATATATAATCCTGCCGAAACATTTTAAGCGGGTTTTCCAATTGTTAAAACAAAATCGTCAGTTTGGTTTTCATTATCGACACTCAAGGTGTCATTCGATTGTAGACGTCATAGTCTCTCTTAAATTTTTCAATGCCGGTGTCCCCCAATGAAGTGCCTCAGTCCTGGTCTTTATAATGTAGACAGTTTAGATGCAATTATCTTTATGCATAATGGCGACCTTGGTTGCTGATTTTAAGCAAGTTTTCACTACAGCCTCACAACAGTAACCCTATTATGTGAGAATTTATTTACTAAACTAATACGTGTCACATAAAGTATAACGTGTATAATGTACAAATATAATAAACAGTTATTTCAATTAAAAATGAAATATAAAAATAGGCCTAAATGTTGAAAATATTAGTATGTTAAAACTAAAATTATCTTAGTAATGAAAATGATGTGAATAAATACAGTTACTATTAATCAAGATAAGAAAATTAATAAAATGAAATGAATAGTACATTTGCAACGTTATTAAATTATATAATGATTTAATTTTAAATAAAACAAAGCTGCAAAATGAAAAAAGTATTTTTGATTAATTAAAATACTTCAAAGGGGATTTTGGTTAGAAATTGTTTAAATGGAGCAAATATTTCTGGTGAAGTTAATATATGTCTTGATAGTGGTCATTCATGATTTGATGAAGTTATATTTAGTACTAAGTCGCTTCGGCAAGGTTCGAGCAGTGGACAGTGATATATTAAATGATCCCATGTTTGGTTAGTTTCATATTTTCAATAATATGAAATCTGTTCAAGTAATATATAGTTCTTTTATGTCCTGTTAGTATCTGAGTTAGCTTGTAGTCCTTCTTTCTGTAATGCATTGGTGAAAAGTATTTTCTTTGCCTCTCTTCCTTTAGTGCTAGTATACCACTCCTCTTCCCATTTCTTCCCAGTAATCTCTTTCATTTTTTTCTTCAAGTAATATCTTGGAGCATCCATACAGTTCAAAACTGTCATTTGTAACTCCCTCTTTTGTCATTCCGTCTGCCATTTCGTTACCGACGGTCCCTACGTGCCCCTTGGTCCACTCAATTCTTACTATCCAGGTGATGTCGAATTCTGATGACTGATTTGTACAGTTAAAGACCATAGTTGATGATTTGTGGGGCTTTATTTGTAAATTTTCCCGCATAATGAACTTACGACTGTCTGAATTTGCGGAAAGGTTGCGTTATCGTTTGCAATTTTCAGATGCGTACCTTTCTTTACAATATAAGACCTACCTTTGTACCAAATTTCACGTTTCTACCAACACGAGAAGTGCCTTATAATTTGGATGATGAGAGTATCCCCCCCCCAAAACAAACCGTATTAACTTTTAGATAATTGCAATTTTCAGATTTTTACCTTTTTTACAATATATGACCTACCTTTGTACTAAATTTCATGTTTCTAACTATACGCTAAGTGCCTTATAATTTTGATGGTGACACTTCCTCCCCTTAAGAGGCACTAATGTTGAGAATATTGCAATTTTCTGATTTTTTCCTTCACTTGCTACATTTTACCAAATTTCACGTTTCTAGCTATGTGGGAAGTACCTTTAATTTTGATGATCAGTGAGTCAGTCAGTAACAAAAATGCAAATTGTGAAATTCTCCCCTTTCGAAAAGGCTTAGATGTAAAAGAGTTCGAATGTTTACAAAGTCCTAAACAACCTAAGCTTAATAAAGTAGTTTTAAATTTCAAAAGCCCATCTTAATAGGAAGCAGGGATATGAGGGTGAAAAAACCGGGTGTATTGGTTCGTAGAAAGATACACACGGCAACTTGCTGCAACTTGGCCAATGCACTGCCGTGCGCTCAGATATAGAGATCTATAGTACAAATGCAAATGTCTGAACAATTAAAATACCTGAGGATGATGATTTAGATTGTATTTTGTAAATGTTTGGTTTTGTGTGACATGACGGACTATTTTGCGGTTCTGCCTTTTCTCGCATCGCGGCACTAATCCGACAATCAGCGTAAAAATGAAATGCTGCAAAAGAAATAGCCGCAAGAGTAATTCTTTATTATTATGGCAAATCAACCGTAATTTTGTTAATAACGATAATAGAAGACTTATTTGCGTATGTATGTTTTCTAAAACACAAAGGAGTTCCTGCAATTGAAATTTCTTTCCTTCATATTAGCCGAGAAAACTATAAAATACAAATTGTTCATCGATCCTCACTGACGCAATCTTAATGGGTGATTGATAATAAGATTCCATAACTGTTTAACGAGATCACTCCCGGTTATTACCGCTTGTTATACGTTTGACTTTCAGATCCAGTTATTGGAAAGTGCAGAGGCGAAAACGTCCTCGGGGCGAGGGACCCCGAGAGTGAAAACGATACGTGTTTCAAAGCGAATGACGGATGTGTTTTGACTCCGGAGCCGGTTCAAAATTACGATCGTATACAGATGTTCAACTTCGATACGGTCGGTAATTGCACGACACGTCGGGAAATGAGCGGTTCCCCACTTGGAAATGATGGGAATCGGCCCGGACAACCGTCTACTTTGAAAAACGGGAATCCGTTGTAAAAAAAAAACATCCTACCGCACTGGTATTATCAGATAGAGAAGTCGACTGGTTAATAAAATTTAAAATACTATTATTTTGACAGTTTCCTTTGGGACATTAACCTTTACTCAAATCCTTGGCTATAACTCAACATAGAAAATGAGTTAGAAAAATGTTTAATATGCCCATGCTTCACATTGCATGCTGCAAAACGGACTCAATGATTATTTTTTCGTCAGAAGCTGTAAAAGATTTAATGCAGGACTGATAGAGGTAGCTGAATATGGAGAACTTGTAAGGATTCTTGAAGTTGGGAGTCGGCCTTCCCGCAATGAGGGGTACAAGTATTAACTGATAGGAGGAGGCGAAGAGGGAAGCTTTTTGCATTTACACAACATTTGAAAAATGGCAAAATGGAGGGAAAATTCGAGAGGTAGGTTGAGATGGAAGTTGGGGTCCGAGTGGATCGAGGTCACGATAGCTCAAGTGGTAGAGTAGCGGCGTATGTAGCCGAAGGTCGTGGGTTCCAATCCGGCTCGTGACACTGGCTTTTTTAGTTCAACCAATACCTTACATAAAGATTACATAATTAGATATTTTATTTTTGTGAGGTCGTTGCCGATCGGTCTGCCTATCCTCGCTGTATCCGTCTGTCATAAGCGTTTCAGCGTTTCGCCATTTTCGGCGTGTCTGTGTGATTTCTGTGAAGTGTCTTTTTTAAGGTCGTGAGGGTGGTGGTGGTGTTGTGTGTGTGTGTGTGTGTGTGTGTGTGTGTGTGTGTGTGTGTGTGTGTGTGTGTGTGTGTGTGTGTGTGTGTGTCTACGTTATCTTTATTTCTCCACCAAAGGCATTTGAACCTCCCTGACCACACGGAAAAAATCTGACATGCTAAATGTAAAAAATTGTGATTTAAACTAGGATTCGAGCAATAATTTCTTTCACTAATTTTCATTTCACTTCTTTTAACCTTATCCTAAAATTGAAATACATTGATTTTCAAAACAGCGGAGGTCATTTGAGAAAAATTAAATCAAGTTACTATCTTTGTATCCAGCCGTGAGAAACCTAGGTATGTCTTTTTAAATTATCCATACATAATTTTCTTTTCGGAACAGAGAAATAGAACTAGGTAATCTCAGAGTATCAAGACCTGTTTTATCTCAAGAAACGGATTCTTGTTATTTCAGAGGACCTGTGGCTTCGAAGGTAAACTCAAAACCAGAATCGTCATATTTGTTGTTGTTAATTGTATTTGGTTAATTACATAACAGAGAATTTTTCCTTCCTTCAAAAATAAAGAAAAATGGATTAAATGGAAAATGTTTTGTACATCCCAAAGGCTTTTATAGGACTTTTCATTATAACAGATTAATGGATTAGAAAACGATCTATTAAATATGGCTATTCATCATTCGTTTGCTTAGCCGAGTGTTATTAAAATTACGAGAAAAAAATCCCATTCGCGTTAAATTTCCTTCGATGTCCGTTTTTCCATTTACGGAACAAGAAGTAGTTTCGTCGATCCGTTTTGCAATTACGGCCAAAGGGATACCTCGATTTTCAAGTTGTTCAACACTCGTTATCCTGATAATCGCTTACCGTCATCGGGTATGTCTCGGTGATCTGCGTTTTGTAGACATCTTTTGTGAATGTTGGATTGAGGTCGTCACTGTCGTTAACGCTTATGGAAACCGTCGTCGTAGCACTCCTTGGCGGTGAACCCCTATCCTGTAAACATTTGAAACATGAAAAGGGACATTACTATACAAGAGTATGTTGGATTTTGTGTAGTGAAAACATCAAAATCAATGTTTTTGACAACCTTGACTTATCTGAAGTTAATAAAAACCTTGATTGAGCATTTAGGACGCAACAGATTTTCAAAAATTTTAAATGTTAAATAGCAAAAGCTTAGTTTATTGTAAGTAGATGTTTATATTTGTTATCTGTGTAAATTATTAGAAATACATAGTATCAAATCCTAATGAAGGGGATTTATTCCTCAAAAACCTGACGAAGAAAGGGTGTTTTTCTTTCTTTCAAATTAGCCTTCCCTGAGAGTTTTTATACGATTATAATAAAGCTGATATGACACACAAAAATTGATGAACCACAAGTTTGCTATAGATTAGTCCTAATAATTGGACCATGAACGCAAAATATTATAAAAGTTGGTCTTTTACGATCTTTTTAGGTTTGTAATACACGCAGTTTTTGTTTGCCAGACACGCTTCGGCTTTTCGCTATCATCAATAGTGGGTTAGTTTAATGTTTTGTTTAGTTAGGACGGACCTAGGTACAAAGGTAGCAAACCAAAACTTGAATGAATATTTTGGTCATGATTGTCAAAATTTTCTGACAGTTTCCTTTTCTTTACTGGTAATGGATGTTACAATTGTAAGATTATTTTTTCAAATAAGCGTTATAAATTATTCAGAAATCGTGAGATGCGGTTTGGTGTGATGTAGGTTTCAGAAAAACATTTTCTATATCGTACTAACGTTTCGATCTTTATTGAGCCCTGAAGATGATCTCAATGAAGATCGAAACGTTGGCACGAAAAGAAAATGTTTTTCTGAAACCTACATCACACCAGACCGCATCTCACGATTTCTGAATAATTATCGATTAACGGTCACTAATCACTACACAAATCGTTATAAAGTAAAAATCAGTATGCACCCGAGGGTTTGAATCTCGTGACACTAACTTTTTCATTTCAACCAAACCTTACATAAAAAGATTAATAATTGTAAAAATCAGTGTTGAACTGAAAAACAGGCCGTACAGTTTTCTTTTATTTTCACGAATACACAATATATGTTTTTTCCCTCCTGTTGTCGTATTTTATTTACTATTGGCGGTGCTTTTCTAAACGAACATGGTGGTCGTGGCGCACACATCGCATCGAGTTGTTCAGTTAGCTCGCGGGAAGTGAAAACTCGCCCGGTATGTTTCAGAAGAGGTTCTATGAGAACTATGAAATCAATTTGATATGGTGTAGAGAATAAAAATAAATTCTTCAAAAATTGTAGAAATTCCAGTACAAATGGGCGCGTATAGGGATAGTCACAAAAAACCAAAACAAAGCTAAAATATTTATGTTCCTACCTGCACTGTGTCTTTTTGAGGATTAAGTCGTCCAATCCAAATTTTGAGAACGTACTAGCAATTTATTGTAGTTAATTTGGAAATCGAAGATAAATCTCGGTCATAGAATTAGAATTCCTTATTCGTCTTCATTCGAGTTTTGAATATGAACGAACAGGGTTAATGTTAAAATAAACAACTATTAAAAACGTACACTCGTCAATCAGTCTTTTGTTTTATTTTTAATTATTGTCTATGCAATTCGGTCTGTTGCACAGGCCTCATGAGGACATTTAGGTGCTTGCAAATATGCCACACTGGTGGTGACGCGAATTTTAATCAGCTCCGTGTCAGTCGGCATTCATCGTTCAATTCTTGCTCTGAGTAACGATCCACAAGAGAAGTGCTTTTTTTATCAATTAGCATTTGTCTTAATTTTTTATATTCCATGTGGCCCACCGAATTGAAAATGATCAAAGACCATCACATCAATTCAATCCTTTTTAAAAAGATAGTTCCTACTCACAGTAAGTTGTTTTCCAACGAACCGGATTTCGAGCCCTTTAGCTCATCATCAGGTTGTAGGAGTTCTTCAACCTGATGATGAGCTAACGGGCTCGAAATCCGGTTCGTTGGAAAACAACTTACTGTGAGTAGGAACTATCTTTTTAAAACGGATTGAACACCATATTCACATTCATCTTTTCTATCACATCAATTCATTCCTGTAAGTCGATGGTTCATGCGACTAAAACAAGAGAGACAAAAACGAGGCACTGCTGCTCGTGAGTTAAATGAAGAGTAAAGTTTTCCACACTGAAGTGAACCACACCTAAGTACACTCAAGGGGTCAATTTCGACTGGAGCTTATAAAAGCTCAGTTACCGACCTGCCACTGAGGAAAGGCCCGAGCCTGATGGACAATGAATGTTAGCACACAAAATGATCGAAAACCACCAAACTTCAGGTTCAGCATCACCCAAACTTCAAGAGCAACTTTCACAAAACGATTACCGATTAATAACGAATTGCCAGTATAAAAATACTCTCTTCCTAGTTAATATTATAAGAAAGAATAAGAAAATTGAATAGTTAAAAAAATTGCTTATGTGAAAATTGAGCAATCACAATGCAAGAAATAAAATCAAATAAAAAATAGAAATGTGTACGAGCTTCTTAATAGACAATAAAACTTGAAGAGACAGACAAAAGACCATACAAATAGCCAGGAAAATACAACTGTGTGAATTGGAAAAAAAAATTGATGTGCTAAGAGATCTCAAAGAGTAATAATATATGTGTGAATTGGAATAATTATAATTAATGTATATTAATGACATGAATTACACAATTCATAAACGCTTCAACGAAATGAGATTAGAATAACTTATTAAACAGGGATAATTCCTGAGAATAACACTTGTATATAAATGATGCAATATTATAAATAAATGTATTATTATAATATGATTCATCAAGCATTTACATTTTCATAAAGAAACATATTTTTCTATTTGATTTTCATTTTATTATTAGTGTGATTGTTATAAACGTATTCAGTATACGTTATCCTAGAGATGTGAAAAAAATTCATTCAGATTCTACCACTCTAACGAAGTAATAAAATCGAAAGAATTTTATCTCATACTTCCTTAATGAACAGTGACACAACTAGCGGCCTACTTCGGTCTTTGTCGTTTAAAAAAAAAGATAAGGAGTAATCAGCTAGCTGATGGGTGAGGGTCAGCATACAACACTCCGGGTACAGTTACAGTCGTTCGGTTCGGGCCTGAATCATTAGAAATGCTCTCACAAAGCATCAGATTGAAACAGGGCTAGAATAACTACTGTACTGCTATTATTCTAAGCAAATAGTTCGCTGATCTTTTTTTGCTCAATCTTATTTCTGATCTTTTATTACACTGAATTTTATTAAAACTATTTTTGTTAATAGCTAGTAATTTTTTGACTATTTTCCCACTTATTCGTGCATCCTAAAACAGCCCGCTACCTTTTATAAGTATATTATTAGTACTCCAGGTCACAATTCATTATTAATCGTGTAAGTGGATTGATTTTGTACGATACAACATTTCTGTTTACATAAAATGTTTTCCCTTTTATTAAATATCCTTTGAATTTTTGTCATTACATCAATATTTGGTTTAGATGTTACTAAACGATTCTTAATGATTAACGAATGAGAAAGATAAATAGATAGATAGATAAGAGAGAGAGAGAGAGAGAGAGAGAGAGAGAGAGAGAGAGAGAGTGTGTGTGTGTGTGTGTGTGTGTGAGAGAGAGAGAGAGAGTGGAGAGAGAGAGAGAGAGAGAGAGAGAGAGAGAGAGATTGTGGAAACAACAGGCATATAAAAAAGTGTAAAGGCAGTAAGTATGATGGAAAGAGATTGAGTCAGAGCGTTAGATGTGGATAGTGCATACAGGAAGAGAGAGAGCAAGAGAAAAATGGTATTAGTAACATATGGTTAATGGTTCATTCAGTAATCATCAATTGTTCGATATATATTTCACAGAAAAAATCCAACTAATGGCAACTTTGTAGGTCAAGGATGACAAAGGTTGCTCTTTTTTAAAAATTTTAATCGCATCAGCTTTAATTAAGGAAAGTACGGGAGAATGGAAAATTATTTATCAATAATATTTATTATTGATATAATATTTATTGAATATTATCTCCAAGATACTTGTAAATTGTAAAATTGAATAATGTTGATAATTTCGTGAATTGTTATCATTAAGTGATAGGATCTTTTGGTTGTTGATTGATCCAACAAATTTCGCAAAAAAATAATGCTACGCTGATTTTTTTCGAAGGAGGCAGGTGGCATTTTGTCAAGGGCTTTTGAATTTTCCAGTCTATAATGTGTCCAACGGACTTACAGCTTTTTGTGGGAAACAATAATTTGACATTACCGACGCTGTCACGATGAGTTTGTACTGCTTGTCGCCGTCGTCGTAGTCCAAGGACCTCTTAAGGACTAAGGCCGGTCGTTGCCCTTGCATTTCGAGGGAGAACTTGGAGCCGACGTTCCCTCCGGAGAGGCTGTAGACCAGCTCGGAATTGGGCGTATTCGGCTTGTCCATGTCCACAGCGTGGATCCCCCTGAATACCGTCAGACCTGAAAAATCCAGCCGTTAATCCTGCTAACCAGAGCGAGAAAGGTGAGCATGTAGGACGGATTTTTCATTCAGGTGCGGTTTATCGTCCGGGACCGCAATCGCTTAACATTAAAATATAATACCGCGTTTACGATGTTATCAAGAAACCTGAATAATGAACACGTTTTGAATTAGTTTATCCGTTTTGTGACAAACCTGTCGGAGTCAACTCGTCAACGTTGACGTGGTACGGCGCATCGACGAATACAGGCCCATGATCGTTGACGTCCTCAACATACACCGTCGCTGACAAATATGAATTGATCTGGAAAAAAAATACATATAAAAAACAATTATTTCAAATGTTTTGGACATATTTTATAATTAATGTATGTACTTTAAATCTAAGGTATTGGTTGAAATAAAAAAGCTGGTGTCACGAGAGGGATTCGAACCCACGACCTTCGGCTGAAAGGTTGTAATCCAACTATGTAACATTAAACAGAAATTTCAACTAAAAATCGGAGAAGACAATTGTGCGCCATCAAATAACATTAAGTGACAAATATGGTGAATATTAGACATTAAGTTTACATTTTTGTATTATTATTGAAATGATCGTTCTGCCACAGTCTATCAAAGTGACAATTTTATTATACAATTTTAGTATGGTATAGGCAGAAGAATATAGTATTTGTTTAAAACAAAGTTAGTAGCAATACCTTGTTTAACATATAGTATGTTACTGCATTACAGACCATGATTTGCAGTTGTAAGCCATTAAAGAAGAACTGCCATTACAGAAAATAACTTTGCTTTAAAAAAATAAGAAAAACCCCGACATTCTTGTGTGCGGCAAGTGACGTTGATGATTTTCTCGTCAGACATTATGGATGATGCTATTTTGTTTTGTTAATAATTTATACTTGAGGGTATCTACTGGTACAACTAAGATCTATTGTAAAGATATTTTTATAAATTTCACCTTTTTGTCATAAGAGATGATTGTGGTAGTTAGACCTTACAATTATAAAATAACTTCTACATGTTTGTTATTCAAATCCGCGTTTCTATCCGACTCTCCCCTTAACATGGTCGGAGGTGCTTTTCCATTCCTGTATGCTAATGCCCATGGCGAACACGTCAAATAACACCGACTAACAAGTGATGTACGTTTTTCGCAGTAGTTCAAACCAGGTGGTCATTTTCGTACTTGATACAACGATACGGCATTTGTGAACAGAATTAAGCACAATAATTCACCGGTAAAAAGAGGAAAATTGTTCAACAGATGTAAACCAACCTTTCAATGGCCTCTCGCAAAAAAAATTACTTTTGAAATAAAATAGTTTTTACTTTTTTCATACTATTGCTTGATATTTGCTGGTAGCATTTGTACTATTTATTTGTTCAAAATACACAAATAATTAATTCTTCCTTAATGATAAAAGTGCTATAGGGACGAATATAATTGTGTCCCTTGTTTATTTGTTATAGTAAACACACGCACAACGAATGATATAGATTTGTTACTACCAATTAGCCATAACTCTATTCCATAATAGCGCAATATATATATATATATATATATATATATATATAGAGAGAGAGAGAGAGAGAGAGTCATAAGAGATAGATAGAAGGAGAGTGAGAGAGAGAGAGAGAGAGAGAGTCATAAGAGATAGATAGAAGGAGAGTGAGAGAGAGAAAGTTAGAAAAGCAGGCAGAAAGAGATTACGAGATTATGTATAATATATGAAATATTCATGTTTTCATGTTTAGGTGTTCTAAACGACTTCGTGAATGATTAACGAATGATATAAATAGACAGATAGTAAGATTGGGGGAAATAGAGAAGTACAAAGCGTTTTGATTTTGATTTTCGTCACTCAGTTAAGTTTCATTGACTACCACTTACGTGAACAATGGGAGATGATCAAAGAGAGAGAAAGAGCGAGTGAGGGAGGTAGAGAGAGAAAGAGTTTTTTTAAAATTTAGTTGCATTAATTTCTAACAAACCAATAAAATTGTAAATATTTACCGTATCTTCGCCGTCCTGGTAGTCGCAGACGAGCCTGAATTTCAACACATTCTGCGGTACAGGGTTGTCCACTAAATTTTCAAGCGACTGTGCCAGCCTAAGAGATATATGCGTCCTGTTGACCGCTTTGAATTTGAAAAAGTGAGCATCTTCTTTCTGTAAAATATTATTTATTAGTTGCATCAAAACTCGCGAGCATAAACTGACTCATTTCGTGAACCAGTGCCGGTCAAAAATATAAGTTAGAATCTAATCTATAAACTGGAAATCGTACTCTATCCATAAAAATTTCCTAAGCTGTCTTAAAATTAAATATTTGGTTTCATACTTAGTTGTTAGAAAAAGATGTTTAATTATCTCTGCAGGTATTATAAGTTTGTTGATGTTTATTGTGATTATTTATCTAATCTATTATGACTAATGACTGCATTGAAAGCATTATTTATATTTACTTTCTACAATACAATTTTATTTATTAACTATCGTACTCTAGGAAACTTGTCAAATCTTTTATAGCTAATCATCCAGTCATGTTTTATTTTCAGGAGGACACATGATAAACCAGCCAACTCTGGCACGGATTAAGGATGGCGGATTAAGTGGCGAGAAGGTATCGAACACTAGTCGTTTTAAGCCGACGTAGCAGGTTGTCGGGATGAAAAAGTGTTGTGAGACCTTAAAAAATAGGGTGAGGATGGTTCAAAAGCATGGTACAGAATTCGTTGACAAAAGGAAGGTCGTGGAGGAGAATGAGGTTAGTGATGTAAGAACCTTCGACAATTTGACTAAGGACTGCTGATTGGAATGATTAAATGAGCAGGATATTGTATAGCTTAGCGTAACCTTTTCTTGTATAGAGTCTGTCAAAACAGATTTCAACCTAAACTTAAACTGCTGTCTAAGTACATATACACCTAAGCATCTGACTCGAGTGGATGTCGACAGCTTTGTACCAACTGTCCACTGCTATCAAAATCAGCAGAAAGGGTATACTTTTATTTATTGATATTTATTTCTCATTAATAAACGAGTACTAGTATAGACGAATTAATTTACATAATAAAAACAACAGTTTTTTTTTATATTAGGAATGGATTGGCCCAACGGAACAGTTTTGGAGTTGCTCGAATGTTCGAAAACAGAACCAATACTTTGCAAATCTTCTCTTACGAATGATATTTTTTTAATAAATAAAAATGTAATTATTTTTTAAAAATTAGTTTGTAGCCACTGCAGAAAACAGTAATGGCAGCTGCAGCAATCATAGTTTCACTGTTGTACATCACGATTGGTTGTTCACTGTTTCCGCCACAACTACGAGGTTATACAAACCCTGCATGTGTGTACACATAGGCACGCTATTTGGCGAATGCCAAGACGAGCATCACGGTCGGCGGCAATCGGCATTCGTCCAATAACCGCATATCTGGAGCCACCTTTAAGCTCGTGGTTTTCTTGGCTGTTGGAGGTTGCTTAAAATCGATGCGGGTTGTAAGACAAAATTGTCGATCATCCTCAGAGGCTGTTATGATGGTATCAGGATATATATATATATATATATATATATATATATATATATATACATATATAGATGTCAATAGAATAAATGGTATAAAGGATGGGATGCTCCTTTGTGGGACACAGATCTTATGACTGTGTTTTTCTTGTCCGCGAGAATTAACAAAATAATTTTGAATTTATTTTTATTCCTTATAGCAATTGGAAAGGCTAGTAAAAATGTATAATTGAATAGGGGTTATATAATCGGAAAGACGGAAGTGTATATAATTTTTTTTTTTTAATCTATAGGAAATGGATTTACGTTTTCTGTATTTGATAGTACTCTCTTTTTCAAAACTTTCCTTACTTTGATGGGAATCAGAATGAGATGAATCGGTTTCAGGCGAAATACTAAAATCGGGATATTCATTTTTGGTGTGATTTTGGCTGGTGAGAGTCGAAAGTAGTGGCAATGTTCTAACGGGTTTAGACGGGGGTGTAATTTGGGTGGGAAGTTGAAGGTTGGACTAGGTGTTGTAGTTCGGTGTATTTTTTTAAAGCCGTGTCTATTTGTTCTGGTTTCAATTTCAAGTATTGTAAACTTAATTTGAAATTTGTCGTGTCTAAATTTTCTATTATTTTTTGTTCCCTTCGTGGGGGGCTAGGAAAAAAATTCGAAATTTCGGATTCGGGTATAGTCGTAATATAATAATATATCCCAAATTCTGTACATATATATTTACTTGATCTACTGCTTGTATAGAAAGATTTCTTCGAGGGTGAACTTCAACAAGAAGGACTTCATCGCCAACTTCCAGGGATTCCGGCACTCTCACGAACCTCAGATACTCTCCTTGGGGGTAGAATTGGCATCCTGAAAACACAAGAGGTCTAATTATTAGCAGCTACTTTTGTTTCAAAAGTCGCGTAACACGGAATAGTTTTTCATAATGTCTCTACGACCCTTCCGCTACCACGCGTTACAATGCCGTAGTGAAAGGCGGTGACGCAACAAAGAAAACAAGCTCTGAATGATTTATTTAGCGAAAGAAATTTTTCAAAAAGTTTTTTGACTAGTTTATAATTACAATGGCGAATTATGTATGTTGTATACTTAATATACTCTTAGGTTTTTGTCTTACACATATTAAGATTTTAATTGTTGGAAAGCTATACGCTTGGAATTTAAAAAAAAAATCGCAAGGATAGTTTCAAGGAAATCCCGTAAGAGAGGATAAACGTGGTCCTACTGACCCCTCAGAGGTCATCTGAACTTGACCGTTGGGGGAAAGTACATCAATGGAGAAATTTTTGAATTTCACGACTCTTAAGCAAACCGGATTCTTCGCAATCAGGGATTAGCATGTCAATTATGATGGTGGATCATGTATCGGTCAGAGGTTGAAACTGTTTTTGACGAGTAACCAACAATCACGAGTTCGTGTTAGGGGATAAAGAGGAGAAAAATTAATGGATAGATGGCCCCCATTAACACCATCGGGATTGACGAAATATTAAAATTCCTGCTTTCTGACCTTAATTGGCATAATTTTACCAAAACATCATGGATTAGGTATGGTATCACAAATGACCTGAAAGTTAGACCTACGAAATGAAAGTTTTAGGACGCACGATTTTTTAACGTTTTGTTTTGTTAGGCAGAGAACTTTGGATTGAAATATCTTAGAAAATCACAAGAAATCCATTCATGAACAATATAAAAAATTACTTTAATACATAGACCTAGTTTATTTAGTTCTGCATAGCTGAAACGCTTCAGTGAAGGTGGGTTCAGCAAATGGAAAAATATAAAAAAGAAATCCTTCCCAAGTTTTTGGTTGCGGAAAACCGTATTGTGTAAATTATTTTTTCCGTAGGGCCCTTTGACGAGAAATCTCGGACATCAGTATAATAATTTTTGACATAATATCACCAAAACAAGTTGGTTAAAATCTGTGATTCCACGTGCGAAAAGCGATAAAAGAAATTAAGAAAATATATTTATTTATTTTTTTGTAAAAGGAAGAATATGTAAATTAATAATATATCTAACTAAAATAAAGCTCACATTTCTGCATGGTGGAAAAAGTAGAAGTGGTTAGAAAAGTATAAATAAATATACAAATAAATAAATAAATAAAACGCAGTAAAATACATTTTACTTCTTACCTCATTTTTGAATTGGCCCCGAAAATCACACAGATTGGGTCAGGAGGACCAAACAAAGAACTCTAATACATTTATTACATGTAGCAGTACAATATGAACCAAGTAATTATTTTTCTATTTTTAAAAGACCTCACAGTAATCTCAATTGTTAATCGCTCGGATGATCCGGATATTTCGTGGAGTATTGAAACCATGTCGTGCAACGTCGCGTCGGTTTAAGACAATCCATGTAATTTCTCTTCTCACATTAAAAAATCTTTATTCTACAATTTAAACGCCTTAATTTTGGTTTTTATATTTCTAACAAATTTAGTCTTTTCTAATTTTTTCATAGTATAAAATTTTAACTCTTTAGTTTCTTCCTCACGTGAAACGGTGTAGCGTTAATTTGTAGAAGGGTGCGGCGACATCCTTTAACGATGTGAAATAAAATGATAATATTCAAATGAGCCTAGGGTCAAGACCTACGTCTCACAGTCAAGGAGAATATATTCTCCGGATATGTATCCAACCATTAGATTTTCCGGAATTGCTTACATTCTATAGTCTTATGAACCAGTAGTTAGTTACTTATACATTTTAAATGGACACCATTACCAAACGAACTTCTTAAAGAAGACAATGAAATTAAATTAAGCATAGCAATCTTGTCGTAAACATGGCTATAAAAATGTGAAAATTAAGACAGGATTTTTGTTTATGGTCGAAAGCAATATTTTAATTAAAATAGTTTGAAATGATTGATTTATCCAGCTGTTTCACACTCTACTCATCCTTCTCTCTCTCGTTTTCTCTCCCTCCCTCCCACACTCTGTCTCTCTCTGTCTCTCTCTCTGTCTCTCTCTCTGTCTCTCTCTCTCTCTCTCTCTCTCTCTCTCTCTCTCTCTCTCTCTCTCTCTCTCTCTCTCACTTTTTTTTCTCTCTCCCTTTATCTCTCTCTCTCTCTCTCTCTCTCTCTCTCTCTCTCTCTCTCTCTCTGTCACTCTCTCACTCACTCGCCCTCTTTCTCTCTCTCACTCTCTCTCTCTCACTCTCACTTTTTTTTCTCTCTCCCTTTATCTCTCTCTCTCTCCCTCTCCCTCTTCCTCTCCCGCTCCCTCCTCCCCCTCTTCCTCCTCTCCTCTCACATCTCACTTCTCTCTCCTTCCCTCCTTCCTTAACTTTTTGGCCATCCTTTTGACAAAATAAAACGTCTCATTCTTGTTTTTAATTCGTCATTTTGTTAGTGAGGTATGTATTTCAATATTGTTGAATGATTAATTAACATCTCGTCCAAAATTGATGATAGCACAACGTAGCGGTTTGATGTTCCATGTTCCCAAAAACAGGTTTGGGGGACTTATATGGATTCGCGAAATCAAATTTGTCGACCAGCCTGCAAACGATCAAGCCAACTTCTTTTTCATTTACAAAAGCAGACAGTGCACCGTCTTTACTGTCAAATTTTCCAGAGCCTAAAAGGTGGTTCAGGGAAAAATGTTGTCCGGTAGAATTTCCTTTAGAGAACTATTGAAAAAATATTGCGAGGAGTTTGGGACTTCATTAACAGGGTAAATGTCTATATGATTTTTATTTGATATGTTTTTGTACTTGACACACGACAATTAATTTATGTATGAACTGATTAAAATATTGCCATTATAATTAGAATTAGCATGTATGCACTGAGGAAAACACACGCATGCGCGCGCGCACTCACACATTCACGTACACACACACACTCATAAACAGAACATCCTTATTTTGGAAAGAATTGTTTATTATATTTCAGATGAAATGATTATTCTTGCATAATTTATAAGTAAATTGTTGTCAATTCATACGCATTAAAATAATAATTATGCCAATTACGATGATATTTTTGTCTTCCGTGACCAAAGCGATTACTAAAAATTAACTGTAACTGTGTTCAATTGGTTGAATCAGAGCATCCCTTGACCGCTAAAAGCTTGGATTTACATCCTCCGTGAAGTATGAACTAGCCTGGCTCCAATGGCTACCGTTAACGAGGACCCGTATTACCGGCCGTTTATCATGTTGAGTTTTTTTTTCGTTATAACGGTTAATTAGATCAAAAGCCGCGGTGTTTTCTTGAATCGATGACTTTTCGTGAGAGGGTTAATTGAAATGGAGGAAGACCATGCCTCATTTACCGAATTGATGTTGACAAGAGTTCCGGCCCCTTGTTGCTAAGAAAGTTGAAAAGTTGTGAAATTGAATCTTCGGCCGCCGACGGCAGTTTAACCATACCAAGTTAATTATTGCCCCGAATGGCTAAATTACACGTGGGAAAGAAATGAAAGCAGAAAATGCCCTATTACTTTTAGCATTTACATAATTAAACCCGCCCATACGACAAAATGCCCTATTCTATAAATATTATTTATGCCCGTTCAAAAATTAAAGGCTAATTTTACAACGAGTCCCTTCAACAATTAATTTTAACCCAAACAAAGTTTTATAGGTGTTTTCATATATTATCGTCCCGACCGGGTTGAATGCATAGGTTTAACATTCATACTCTAAATTAACACACCTGGGAGGAGTTTTCTGAATTGCTCTGAAATTAGTCATTGTAGTAATTTAATTCGATCTTATACTCTCTTGAGATAAAACATCAAGGAATTTCAAATGTTTCTTTAGGAACATTGTACGATACAATGACACGTAGACAATTTACAGTAGCTCCAATAGAATTTCAATAAAATATACGTTTAACGTTCATTAACTTAGCATGTCGGACGATAAAACACTAAAATGAACTATGTGTTTATATTTCTATCGGAAAATCTAATTTTAATTTCTCTTACTTAAATCTTTAACGCGGTAATGTGCACCACGAAACTACTAACAACTAGAAAACAACTACCAAGAAAAATGACAACCATTAGAGATACTGGCCAATAAATTGTACATCTTTTTTCTCAAAAATATTAGGCCATCTCTTACTACCAAAAAACAAAAATAGAATTTAGGCAATATCACCCTTGCCCCCAATAGCTACACACGATACTATAACTGAACACATAAGAGGAACAACCTAAAAAGGACAATGAGGATCTTTAACGTCCGCACCTAGCCTATTCGGCCTTATCGAACGTTTTGATTCTCAAGCTGAGAGCTGACACCTCCGCATACGACAGAAGGGTGTTACTGCCGCAGCGTTGGTGTACAGGCAGCTCAGCCCCGAGGGGCCAAGATAACCTCGCTCTCCACTTGCCCATTCCGAGAGTTCGGGTCCGTATTAAGCATCGAAGTCATGCCGCGCGCAAACCTCGGTAGAGGAGGCCACTCTACCTCCCAGAGTTGTGGGGCTTCCCTAGCGTAGAAACTACCGGATCCGCTCCGGCCGCGGTTTTGTTTGAAGTGGAATTGCTAAGGAGACCACCTACGGCAAAGCCTCCAATCGAGCTCAGCCTACACCTACGTGCAAAGCATACTCGAGTAGGAGCAACTGATTCACTACCCGTTCCCATCCGCCACTACACACCATTTGAGGGACTTTTCAGCATAATCATAGCGTCCTCAACGCTGCCGTCCGATCCGCCGTATCCCGTGAGGCCGGTTGTATAACGGTGGTCGTATAAGTTGTATAAGTTTCGTATGAAGGTTGGAATTGGAACGATACAGAGATAAGAGGAACAGAAAGTAAACCTGGAATTTCACTCGATAAAGGAAAAGCTCACGACAGAATGTGGATCCCAATATACCCAAGGTCAAGGGACCATATGCCAGATAACTTCTATAGAATCATCACCAACTACCTCTCAGGCCGAACGTTTGCAGTAAAGGACAGGATCTTAATCTCCGGCTCTTATTCTATTCACTCTCACAACGAAGCGTGCCTATTTATAGTCCTTGTCTACTACGCGACTTCCCCACACATAAAAAAAAGAAAAATTACTTGTAACAGGATTGCTGTGTAAAAATTTAGCGTAGTTTCATGAACCCAACCATGTCAACGCTTACTGAACAACCCGCGAATGTCTGTTACCTAGGATTACATTTGCATACAAAGCTAGCAAGGGCCGTACAGAACACATTGCATCTAACTCCTTCTAGAGGGGAGGTAACTCCTAACACTTGGAACTAAAAGACTGCTGTATCATTCACCCCATTTGAACCTCAAAATACCATATTACCATCATAATCAAAGAGGTCTATGAGAAGCTTCATATAGCAATGATAAACCACCGCAATGAGCAACGCATATTAGTAAACGCCCAAATACTGGATCTAAAGAATAAGCATTCAGTTGCTAATTAGTGTAAATTACCTTCCTGTTAAAACTTGTACAGAATGCGCCACGAACAGACGTCAAAAATTTAGAACATAATTCTACTTGTTAAATAGGATTTAAGTCCCGGTTGTCTATTGTCTGATTGTCAATTTATATTCGAAATATTTCACTTTTGGAGTGAAAATGAATCTTATAGTATTTTCAATGCTCTGTCTATTTAATTAATTTTAAAATTAAAATTACTTTCATAGAGGAAAAAGGTTATGAGTGGTTAAAGTAACACGAAAAGTGAAATAACTCAAATACAATTGAAAATCAGACTTTAGACAGTACGGACGTTTTTGATGTACAGAGTAGCCACCTGATATTTCACCGGATGTATTGACGTCGGTTCGTGGGGACGACCTGTATGGTGTGAGCCCTATATAATTCTAATGGAGCTACTGGGTTGGTACAGTTGGTACCAATACCATATTAATTAAAGTCATAGTTACTTACTAAATATGGGCATTGAAAGCTCAACTCTGTATATTTTTAGAAATAATAATATTATCTAGTTTATAATTTTAAAAATCCTACAGGGTTATTTGTTTAATTAAAATGGTTTCTAAAAATTTTTTAATATTTAATCCAAAAATTTTACAGCCAGAATTCTGCATGTTATTGTTACAGAACCTTTGAAAATCTAGTAATATCATTGGTTGATGTTCGGATGTTGTATAATATTTTATACCTTTAACAAAATAATTGCTTAACTTGGCTGAATGTTCCAGAGAATTTTCGTTCAGCTCATTGAAATTTCAAGGAAATTTTATCATTATCAAACCAGTGACTAACGACCTAAGGTTAGACCAACAAAATCCGAAAACACGAAGATCAAGATAATTAATGATCGTCCTGCAAGTGTTTTGCACGCAGAGCATCCAACATCACGAAAGCGAGAGAAAAAAACCGGTCCGCCCTATATTTATTTTTAGTTGAAAATCTCCCTGCTTTCATCCTAATGGTCGCTTTTGGTAGAAGAACATTTATAAAACCTGTGTGGAAAGGTTCACTAGAAAATGTCTAGTCGCGGGTACACACATTTTCAAAACCACGATTCGCAAAGTGACAGAACGCGTTGGGGAAACTTGGTTCCACTTTCGTGGAGAGGACCGCTCGAGCTGAAAATCTGGTTTGTTAACATCACGGTTTACCGATTTGTTCGTTAAATAATTTCTTGATGATTATTAGATTTTTAATAAGATGTACTAACAGAAGAAAAGAACTCGTTTGAACTTTCGGTGTGAGATCCTAACCACTAACCGATGTATGAGTATCGAGGATGCCACGAACTACGAAATCTAACACCACTACATATTTTCATCAAGGGAAACATGATCAGCGTCTATGCACAGATTTCTTCGTCGACCAATAAACTACACCAACAATAAATGTATACTCCTATGTGACCTTTATGTGCTAAACAACTATATCTTGCTGAGAAGTACTTTAAAGCAAGGCATAACTTCATAACAGAATACAAAATTATGGAAGCAGAATGGGCTGCCAATCAATGCATCTATTTGATACTCCGACGGCTAAAACTAATACAAGGCACAAGAGCAATTAAGCTTTAAGTCAGAATAAAAAGTAGATTGGACATACTGAGTCCAACTCCAAAACTTGAGAATCACGTTAACCAAGAAAACCTACAGTAGAGATGTTACTAAATTTACTACTTCTACATATTTTCATCCAGGGAGAAACAAGAAGAGCTGCACATATGCTCTGGAAGGACAGGCTCCTATAAATTATATCTGTAGCAACCCTTAAGATACCGAGCAAGTAAGTAGGAACTTTGTTTTTAAAAACTTACATGATCCTGGGTATAACTGTGCAAAGATATCCCAGCTAAAACCGAACAAGGTCTAGGAGACGGCATTATGGGAACAATTAAGCTTAATGCGGATACTAAAAAGCTAAGCATTAACGGTAAAATGTCATCGTCTTGAAGTAAGACTACAGACTGTAAGAGACAGCATATGTGTATTGAGAAGAAAGAATCACTGACTTAAGGGTATTGAGGATGACAGGATTATATACCAATCAGACAAAATCGCTTTACTAAAATGACTAATAGCTATAAAAAAAAAGGATTGTTGAAAGGGAGAAATTAAAGATCTATACTTTATAAAACAATGCTTTCAGGAAGGAGGAAGGAAGGAAAAAGATCGACATTTTAAAACGCTGCAATAATGGGGTTGACCTTTGGCAACATGGCTACCAGTCATCGCAGACTATTTGGTACACGGACGGCTAAAACCCCAAATAAGGCCTTGGAGCCAGCATTAATGATAAAAAGTAACGATTTAAATGCCAATATCTCTTGGAATCCATTGGGAAATTAAGCTTGCTACGGAGATTATAAAGCAAAATATAAACGGACAAAACATCTACCTGAGGTAAGATCACGGACACTGAGAAACTGCATGACCAGAACGCTTCATTAAACCGTCTGACAACTATAAAATAAAATATTACAGAATGGATCAAATAAAAGTTCGTATCTGGAGGATCTCGCACCAGGAGTGAAGCAAACCTGCTTCTTCCTCAAGAAAGTTCCTACTATCATATCAGCAAGTAACTAAGCCGATAAAACTTAGCATTATCGAAGGTCTGTTAAAGGACGTTGTTGACTCAATAAGCATATAGCATTGTTGGGACTGGCAGAAAATAGCCCATGTACGTCCTTCCTAGATGGGAAAACCGCAGTACATCCTATTACTTTGAAAGTTTAATAAGGAAATGGTTTCTACTCAAATTCAGCAAATATTATAATTTATAACCATAGCTGCCGCGTTTAAATTTATAGAGAAAACGCCTAGAGCTAGATTTTATTTAGCTATTCAAGAACATCGGTCTCAGTTGGGCGTAGTGACACAAATTTAGACCCAATAATATGCAAAAATTCAATCTAATAATATGTGATATATGCTTTTAACCAAAAAAAAATAAAAAAAATCGAATATAATTTTAAAGATTTCATTTCAAAGCTATAAACCTGAATAAAAACGTTGTTCCAACTTACTCTTCTCTTTCTCAAAAAAATAAATAAACTATATAAATAATGGCTCCTCCTTGAAAATCTAAAGCTGATTTCGATTTCATTGGCGAGAAAGTCCGTCGTTCGACCGGTCAATAAGCGTATCGTCCGACGGAGAAAGTAATTTTGATCAAACAGTAAAATAGCCATGATTCTTCAACTAGCCTTCATTGATCCAGATTAACGTTTTCCCCGGTTCGTGAATCAAACTCGAAAATCGGATACCTTTCGAAGCGATTACAGGATATCGTATCTTTCCTGCTTTCGAGTTTTGGCCATCTGGTCTGGTTTGCCATTAAATATCAATTATTTCTCAAAAAATCAATAATAATAATAGAAGTGCATTTATTTATTGCCACATAAAATGATAAAAACTAAATAAAATTTGGATGAAGATTTTATATTAAATATTTTATGGATGGCTTAATTTTTTCTAATTTTAGGCCTTTTTTGAAGGTGGTTAAAGAAATTTTCCAATATATGCATTGTATATATATTTTACATATTTTACATTATTCTTTTTGTAAATTACTTAATGTACATTTTAAATTATTTTCTTATGTTATTATTTTTAGTTTTTATTTTCTTAAGAAAGCTTTTGACTAATACTCAGCTCCTCCTCAGTCTTTTGTTTTAACATTATGTAAACCTGGCTTAACGTTACTGGAATAACTACGAATATAATAATAAGTGGTTCTGGATAAATACATATTTATAATTACATATTGAAAATGATTATTAAAAATTAGCAAACTGCATCAGACAAAAGAAGTATGTATTTTGTATGGTTTGCTTAAGTTAAGCATACATTGGATAAATCGTCGATCCATGGGGAAACATACGGGGTCTGTTACATTTTAACGATTTTATCTGCAGTGCGTTTTGCACAATCTCTGAAATACGCTCTGAAGAAAAGACACACGTTCTCCCTTTACAATTTAATCTCTTTATTTACGATTTATATGTGTCATTTCGTTACGAGGTTTTATCCACCAAAACATATGTAGGAATTGACGTTGTAACCAAGTAAAATTTATTTCAAAACTTATTAACTGAAAAGGTTGCTTTAACTATTATAGAAACAACATAATTAAACCAAGAAGTTAAAAAGTTAAAGTAATCTATTATATAATAAATGTTCAATATCAAGTGCCATGGCAACGATGATACAAAGAAAATCAGTTCTCCCCTTCTTGTGTATGAAAACATTAAATACAGTAGATACATTGTTTTTATGAGCTATAATAAAAAACATTCAAAGAGTACAAGAGGAAAACTTACCTTCTGCCTTGGTGAAAACGAATGTCGCCAGTAAAACCGTCCAAGCGATGAGCCCTTTCATTATCGCTATCTGGCCAGACTCATTATTAAACCTGGAATAGAAAATATGATTGTAGTGGAATACAAGGAAAATATCGCAACCATGAAAAATATACAAAACCCACCTCCCGGCGGATCTTTTTAGCCGACAATGGTCCTAACTACTAGCCGATACCCGGATCGAATTGCTAATCCACCTGGGGCCTTGCCCTCAGGAACGGGTTCGGGAAAAAATTATAGGAAGCCACGTACAAGGGGAAATACGGGAATGTAAATTTGGACGTGTTTTTCTTTTATCCCCTTTTTCAGTTTTGTTTTCCGGTATTTCCTCAGACGCCTTGTGTCAATTGGCTCATCGCGGATCCGCTTTCTAGTCAGTCAATCGCGGTCCAGATCTACCCCTCAAAACGCAATCAAGTCTGATTACTCAGCAATCCTTTATTCCTCATTCGAAAAAAAATTAAGATTTAACCGGTACCCTCTAAAGATTGGACCGATAAATTTTTACTACCTAACGGCAAACCGCGTCATCACGTCCTTGTAGATAAAAGAAACGTTTTATTTCCCTAAAGGAGAAACACAATACCCTTTGAACTTATTTCTGTTTAGCGATTCTTCAATTTTATGTATTTAGTATCAACCATAAAAACATCTTCATACTACAACCCATAAATTGAAGAAAATTATAAAGGGTTATTATCAATTACTTGTTATTGAAAAAGGTGTGAAAAACCTATGTGAGAGTTCTACTGAGTGAAGTAACGTTTCAACGTCTGGGGTGACGGTTAGGTTAGTAAAATAATTTCTGACAGGGGTTGTGGCTAGTGGCCGACAAGCTATCACTATGAGCTTTCTTTTGTGGGTAGGTGACTTTGGGAAAAAACATTTCCTACTTCCTGCCGACCTAGTCAACTGCAGACCCGATCGTTTGAAGCTTATTTCTGAGCATTTCTGCTCAATTGGAACGGATTTTTGGATTAAGGATAATTTGAGGTCGGAATATATTTTTTCTAATTTTGGCTATTACTACAATATAAATTAATTTTATTAAGGTTTTACCAAGGAGGGGGACTATGAGAGAGAGAGAGAGAGAGAGAGAGAAAGAGAGAGAATTGAATTGAAACGCTTTCTTTATTCATAATAATCCAGGATTTAGTCATTACGACCTTTGTTACAATCAACGAGTTCGGTTTTACAAAAATAAATAAATACAAAATAAACAAAAATAATGTTTATCGAATTATAATGTTTATTATTATTTTTACCTTTAATCAATTGCACTAAATTTGTCTGTAGTTAACTGTGGTGTGTAATATACTATATATATCTGACTAACTGAATTGTGTTATAAACAATGCAAGATTTCCACTTACAATAACTAAAATTATAAAACAAAAAATGTGAATAAACATAAAATCTTGAAGTAGATACATAAAAAATAGAAAAAAGTTAAAAATATATCATTATATAATAACCATTTAACAAGTGAAATGGTGAACGTATTTATCAAGGAGTAATTTAGTAGATAAAAAAATTATTAAATTTAAATTAAAAAATACAAAACAAAATAACACATAATAAACAAAGATTGTTGTAAATATAATGTAAAATTTATATGTAAGCATAATATAAAACTTTTATGTAGATTATTAAGCACAGGAGATTATACATATTTTGTAGTTAGTTATGCATATTAGTATTTATTTTAATTTATTTTTGAATATTTTTTTGGTTTTTACATTGTTTATTTCTCATAGTATATTGTTAATCATCCTAATGTTTTTTTAGCAAAAACGAGTTGCTAAGTGTTTTTGTTTTGGATTTAACAACTGTTGTGAATGGTGAGTATTAATATTATGTATATATGTGTGGTGTTTAGTGACCGTTAGTTAATGATTATTTAGAGATCGTGGGATGCGGTCTGGTGTGATGTGGGTTTAGAACAACATTTTCTTTATTGTGTTTTACATGCAAATATTTCGTAGGTTAAGGTATCAATTGCTAAGAAAGAGAAAGAGAGATTAAGGGAGAAATAGTGGGTGAGTGGAAGAGAAAAGGGAAGAGAGAAAGACTGAGATGGATAAATAGGAAAGAAAGAGAGAAAGGCAGAGAAAAAATGTTATCTAATAAATTATTCTTTACGTACATTCAGTTCTGCTTACTGGTACTTCACATGTACTTTGTTTTAATTTGCATTAATAATTACCAATTATATTTATAACCGACTTTATTGCTTGGTGGTTCTCCGGTGATCTATTTCTTTTAATACTGGTTTACGGTGCTTTGTCGTCTTTTATTTCTTGTAATCGACACCTTTTTATGCTTGAATATTACAGAGCTATACATTTTAATTAAAGACACGAACCATGAGAGTAGAGTTTTATGAATAATTTAATAATCATCGCAGTAACTGTTTACTAACGACTGAGGCATAGGGAAACAACCTCGCTTCCCCTGTACTTCCTCATCTCATGGCGAGTTGAAAAATTACGAACCGCCTTATATATCGTTATTACAATTTAAAACTGATGTGTCCTTTGTTAGATTAAAAAGAATAATTTTCTACCCATTAAGCAATTTACCCATTGTAAGCAATTTCAATTGTTTTGAATTTTCGTTTAAACTACAGTATTGATCTGAAGTTGGATATCCGAAGATAATCATAAAAGGAATTCTTATTTTAAAAAAATACTGATTTCAGCAGTTTAGACGATCCCGACCATCCTGAGTTTGAACTATTGGAAGTAATAAATATTAATTATAAAATTGGGGTTTATGCATAATATATTGGATCGAGGTTTAATTTATAATTGTCGAAACCCTAAAATAAATAATTATTAAATTGTTTTAATTCTAGCACGGTATGGTCAAAATGGATATAGTAGATTCAGGTATTGTCAAACATCCGATGTTTACGGTAGTGGAAACGGTCGGAACAAACGGCCTTTTTGTCGCAGACGTCTCCAGTTTTTCCTAGGCCAACTGACATAACGAATCGCGTCATATCGCATTTATCCGCCTTTATGCATGACAATATGCTCTGTTGGATTATGATCTAATTAGAGGGTGAAAATTGGACGTGTTTTTCCGGGTCGTACTGTTCCTCGGGGAATGGGAAAGCCGTGACGCAATTGTAAAAGGTGTCCGCCGACGAAAGTGTGACCGTTTCCTTCCCATCGATCACACGCGATTGTGTCAGGTTTTTATGATTCCTTCCTTTAAGCCATCGTCAAAAAAACTGCTTAGGACTGATTATCATCAACATCATTGGGGAATAGAAGGTGAATTCTGGATAAATATACAATTATCATTTTTGTGAAACTTACCGAGTCTTTGAAGAAATAGTTACCAGTAACTTTTTCGCATCCGTCTCTTAATAATTACAAAAATTAAACAGAGTTATTATCAAATTTACACCCACTGAATTTCATAACCCAACAAAACATTTTATATTAATGATATATTTTTTAAATGATTTTCTTTGTTACACTGAACATAACATCTGCTTTATTCTATTGCCTTTAACAATATATAAGTATTTCAATATTGTATGTTAGATTTATTTAAAATAGGCAAATATCAAGAAGCATTTGTTCAAATGTAAAATATACAGCAGATTCCGATTGATTATACGACATTTGAAAAATGGCAAAAAGGAGGGAAAATTCAAAAGGTGGGGTTGTGATGGGAGGTTGGTCTCCGAGTGGATCGAGGTCACGATAGCTCAAGTGGTAGAGCAGCGGCGTATCAAGCCGAAGATCGTCGGTTCGAATCCCGCTCGTGCCATTGACTTTTTTATCTCAACTAAAAACCTTAATTAATTGTATGATATTAATTGGTCAAGCGGACCACGAAACTAGTGAATATAAAAATTAAATTAAATACAAAAATTAAAATAAATATTTATTTTATTGTTTGTTGTTTATACGGTGAGATTACATGATTTTACAAATGAGACGACCTCGCTATATATACAATAGTTCCTTGTCTCTAAGATAGTATGGTAACTAAAGGGATTATTATGTATCCAGACAAGACTGTAAAGAATTTTTTCCTTTCCTTCTCATATCTAGAACAAATCATGATTAAATGTTCCATTGAACCAGTTCCATATAGAGCAAACAAACGTCTATAGCAGATCTGTTTATTTTACGCATATATTGACCACATATGGCATAGTTTGATCTGAGCCTGCCTATAATTTTGCACATCTCTTTATTTACGTGATGTTTACGGAACCAGGATGCCTCAATGTTAGGTTGAATGTTTTTGTATAATAGCACTTTGTTTCAATGTTTGTACCTTTGTTGCCACTCGTTTGCTAGAGCCCTTGTTAATTGATTTTTGATTTCGGTGTAATGAATTTGTAAGCGGCATTCTTTTCCGTTGTGAGCAGCTTCCTTTGCCAGCCTGTCCTCTCTCTCATTATATTCAATGCCAGCTTGGGCCTAAACCCATGCAAACTTGACATCTTTACCGCTCTAGAAAGGGAAAACTAATTTTGGGTAGCACTTCAAAAATTATGGGATTGTCAGTAGCATGTAATTTTTTATTTTGTAATTTAAGAAGTGAACTTAAACTGTCAGTTATTATTAAATATTTGTCATTGAGAAATTGATTAATACATAAATAGAGAGATTACTCCATATAGCCTAAGTAGTGATGCGAGTAAAGCATATTTTTTCTACTTTTTACTTTTCCAAAATTAAAAAAAAAAAGAACTCTTTCAAAACTAAAATATTGTCTGGCAGAAATGGTTTGAGATGGAGTGAGTATGACATTCACTTTCTGGCATGATAGTTCTATTCAGAGAAATTTTAGGCAGCTATACGATAGGATTTCGAGTTTTAAATGTCATCAGGCAGAAGATACAAACACGTCTCTCAAGTACAATTCACGTCAAGAAACTTCTTTGATTAAAACTATCATTCCAAAAGTGAATGTATTGATTTGTATGCATAGGACAGTCATTTATCATATATGCAGGGTGACCAGTATCATTCTTATTTGCCCCACCCACTTTCTACTTAAATAATACATCGAAAAAGTGAAAAACATAGTCTAATGAATTTTCCTTTAGTTTGATTGAAATTATACAAGTTCACTGTTATGCCAGCACATTTAGACGATTCTGCAAGACAAATTTTGCATTTTAATTGTCATTTTTCTCTTTAGGGCCTCCAATTATAGGACAGTTAAGGATTCATTTTCTACGCATTTCACACCTCAAATTACTACCTCCTAAACCTGTAAACTCCATCTCTAAATAAAGGATGAGGTTACATATATAAAAATTAAATAAATAAATATATGAAATATAATCAATTAAAACTATGATTTTTTCCGATTGATTAGTTAGTAACACTCATAATTCGAAGCAAAGGTGAACTTAATTAAATTTACCGTCTATTATTTTTTAAAATACCCTTTTTAGTAAAACGAAAATCCGGCCGTAAATGAAAAGTTAAGTAGTAAAGTTCCGTAAAGATGAGCCGAAATGCACCGGGAGAGCAGGGCTTCAGCGGACTTTGGTCATTGAACTTGAGAGGTATACGGAATACATTACCACCTGCTACACATCTCACAGACCTTTAACGTGTAATTAGCGAGAGTTACTCCAATTTACCGACAAGTCTGATAACGTCTCTTTCTCTTTGTTGCTTCATTCGGTTGCAAAAAAGAAAAAGGAAAAAAATCTCGTCACAATTACAAACAAATTTCGTACAATTTTATGCTTATATTTTACGTCAAAACAACAATTCTATCTTTATGTAATACAACGTATATAGGGTTAGGGTTGTGGTCAGAAAAACAAATAATGCTTCTGTACCAACGCCGAGTTTTCGACAGTATATTTCGTCTCGTTCAGACGAAGAAAGGAGTTGTCAAAAATCTGTGCTATGTCTGTTTGAATGTAAAATTAATTCACGTTTGTGTTGTGATTAGTGACTGTTAGTCGATAATTATTCAGAAATCGTGAGATGCGGTCTGGTGTGATGTAGGTTTCAGAAAAACATTTTCTTTATCGTGCCAACGTTTCGATCTTTATTCAGATCATCTTCAGGGCCTTGTGTTGTCTGCATTTCAACAAAAAAGTACTCTGATTGATAGCCGATGCGAGTTTCTTCTCATTGTTGGTCCTTCAGAATACTTTTAGCTTCGGCTATCGATCAGAGAACTTTTTTGTTGAAATGCAGACAACACAAGGCCCTGAAGATGATCTCAATACAGATCGAAACGTTGCCACGATAAAGAAAATGTTTTTCTGAAATCTACATCACACCAGACCGCATCGCACGATTTCTGAATAATTAATTCAGATTGTTCTATGTAGACCCGGAAGAAGATGAAATATATCTTCGAAAGCCCGGCGTTGGTACAAAAACACTATTTGTTTTTCTGACCTAAACCACGAGGCTATTATAGATTAAAGACAGGATCGCATAGAACATACCATTTTATAAAACTGTACACACTGAGAAATGTAATAAAAATTTGTTTAAATTGTTAATTTTTTCTTTGATTGATTAATGAATAAACGAAAAATAAATTCCATAAAAGAACTAGTTGTACTTTTTCAAATTATACTGAAAAACCCATGCTTTTGTAAATGGAAAACCGTGCATTATTCGAAACATTTTCGCTACCAGTGTGATTATTGACGATGCATTTCTTTTCCAAATTAGGTCGGTCTTTAAGCTCCCGAACACTTGTCTTTGATAACGGAGGTCCTGATTTGGAAACATCAATCAGCAAAGAAAACATCTGGAAATAACTTCACTGCCATTAGTCTGGTATACTATCGATTTTATTTCCTTAAACTTTTCTACGTCGTATTTCATCTAAAGGCCATTTTATTTTCCTCATAAAACTGCTTTTATTACAACTACAAATTAAAAATTATGCATTTTGTATGAAAAGTAAATAAAATAGAGTGCTGCTACAATTCTATACTTACGTCACCGGAGTCTGCAGTGTACTTTATGCAGTCCAACTATCATTCTAATCCTAACATATCTTAGGTAAACTGCTGAAAAATGAATAGAGATATTTGTAATTTATTCGTATTCTATTAATTTTAATGAGATTAACCGATATATTCTTGTTAGTTGGATAAAACAAAATAGAAAACGCAAACCAAAAACAAACAAATGTTAATCTTCATGTTTTATAACTGATTTACTTAAGAATAATAAACATGAAGATTATTTATTTTGTAAGCAAACACCTTTTCTCCATTTTAATACAGTTGTATTCTTTTTAATCACGGAAAGTCATCATCTTGAACCAGAAGTTTGCAAGATTACTGTGAGAATGAGTCATCGAGATCACAGGCAAGTGGATATCTCAGAGGTAGTTGGCGATTCTCAGAGCGTGGTCTCCCGGGCCTGATTTCGAAAGACTGGAAGTGCCAATAGGAGGCCTGGTAGTGGATCTCACCACATTACGAAGCTAAGGGAGAACATAAATATTGTCATTGTTGGAAGACGGAACCCGCTCCACAGTGCTCACCAGCTCCTGAATGATACTTCAATAGAGATGTTGCAACTTCAAGATGTTTAGATACGTAATCGTTTGTGGGAAGTTGGCCGCACATCGTATGCCTCTTTGAGACGACCTGCACCAACAACCCGCATATGGTGCAGCGAGCACCTAGAAGTGAACACGTTTATGTTTACTGATGAGTTGTTTTACTGTCTGTATAGTGATAGCAGGCGCCGAAGAGTCTACCGTGAACAGGGGATAAGAACAATGCCCCAGTTCGTGCTGACTTCAGTGCGGTTGGGAAGAGGCGGTGAAATGGTCTGGGCTGGGATTTACACTGGAGGACGAAATGGACTCCATACTGTTAAAAGCAATCTCACCACTGTCCGTTATGTCCAGGAAATTATCGAGGAATACATCTCTCAAATCAGGGATCTCATTGGCAAGGATTTTCGATTTCTGGATGACGATACCAGACCTCGTAGAGGCAGAGTTCCCAGAAAACCTGGGAATGTCTCATCTGTCCCTTCCCTCATTGCCTCCAGACCTCAATCGCATTGAGCACATGTGGCCTATGGGATGCGTTGCAGAGAAGGCTTTTCGATCACCATTCACAGCCAAGCCTGCAACAACTCAGTGCAGCGTTCCAACATCTATAGACATCCTTCTTAAGATTATACCTAACAGGTGCATAGAGATTTTAGATAACAGAGGAAATTATATACGGTAGTAATTGTTTAAAAAAAATATTATGTCCAATAAAGAAAATTATGGAATTAAAACTTTTTTGTTATTTTTCAAAATTCCTTAATTAAATTTTTCGCCAGTAAAAACGTAATAATTTCTAATAAATTTTAATTCAATTTATTGTAAAAATAAAATAAAAATGGTAGGGAAAGTAAATTCTACAAAATTGGCAATATCCCTTTTCATTTTTGTGCAGTTTAGTTCTGTAGTTAGTTTCGTTAGATGAACTTTTTTCTGTTTTGAGATCCAGTCCCTTGAACCGAGTTTATTAACTCATTGTCAGATCGTACTACGTTTTTAGCAACCCGGGTTATGGCAAGTTATCCTTGTCAAATTTATCGGCCTCCTCGTCACCCTCCTGCCAGTGTACTCTGGTAGTCTGACAGGGCCTTAATGCAATCCCGAAGGCTCTCGGCTGTACTACCGATGAGGTAGCTGCCTTTAATGCTATTATTTTGTTGACAATACATATACTTTTAATTTTTCTGACGATGTTCAATAACCAAAGTCTCTACCTGGAAGATATTGGCAAATTGTCCAAAGCTTAAATGAATTTTTTGTCCTTGGTTTATTTTGTCATTATCGTAGTATACCATGGATATCTTTTTTCTACTTTTGTTATTGGTTTTATAAATTATTTTTCTTTGCACGACAATATGATATCAACGACAAACTCACTGAACACTGAATAGCGACTTTATCGATGACTTAGGCACACAAACTAGCAAAACCTTTTTGCGTTTCCATCTGATCTGAATGATGACATCACAAGTATGCAGTAGGTGTGGTTGTTTGACAGTGTATGGACACATGAATTAACGAAAACCAGCGAATGTAGACGGACCTCAAAGTGATCAGTTACAATCGATCTAGATGATCTAGTCCCTAGGTTTAGACTAGATTATAAAAAGGTATATTTCTTTCAAAACGTAGGGTCACGACTGAGTAAGGCTAAAACATTTTTTTAAACCACCTCGCACATAAAGTAGAAATGGTTTTAGCAACTTGAAAATTGAATGGTCATGACTTCAAACTATTCGGGGGCTGGGAGCTAATTGGTGGGCGTCGATCCGCCAATAAGATAGAAAAAGGTTCATCAATTTCACCTTTGAACCCGTCGAGGGTCCGTTACTGAAGAAGAACACGGTTTATTTAAATCCCGTTTGACCCGTTTCGGCATTTTCACCCGCTCCAAGCCGGATGGTCGGCGATGAGGGAAGCCTTTTCCTCATTCCTTATTAAAACACGACCCGGTAAATTAGGAAGTTCTGCATTACGGGAAGAAAGCCTAGAATCGAAATCAGAACACGTCTTTTTTCGCTCAGTTTACTAAACACTGCTCTTTAATAAGCCAAGTGTGAAATTATCCTTTTTTTACTCATCTCGTACGCAACAAATTAAACCGAAAAACAATTTTTTTCCACTCGCGATCTATTAGGTTCCTCTAGAAAAAATAGTCATTATTAAAATAGACAACATAATGGACCATTCAAAATTGCAGGAGCAGTTACTGGTTGATAAGTGGCATGCTATCATAAGCTTTAAAATACGGGCTAAAATGTTCTATTTCATTTAAAATTTAAAATAAAATATGTAAAAACAAATTAACCCAATATCAATAGATGTGAGTGGTAACAAACTTCATCACACTGGTGGTGTCGAAGTTTCTCTGTCTTGTTGAAAGTACCTTGAACATTTATAATTTGGTCATTATAATTAATCTATTCGTGCTTTTTTGCAGACTTTTGGACATCGACATCTTTAGTGTTGAGCCTGATTACTTTTTCCTTCTATTACCGGATGAAAACACTTCAAGGGTACAACAGATATAAGAACAAAAAGCCAGGCGCGGACACACCCATCCCATCCCTCACGATCTTGGCTTCACAGAAATCACATTATTAATAATAATTTAATTGCAGATAATTTTTGGTCTAAGGGGTTTGTTATGTTGGTAGTCACTTGAAATATAAACTTTACTTATTATAACCTGACATTTTCTGTTAAAAACGTGTAGTGAGGTGTATTTGAAAAATCGTTGACTTGTAAATGGTTATTACATTTTTATTTTTATTTAGAGCGTCGTATATGTAAGTTGAATGTTAATGTTATCTCTATGGTTGTAAATTAACTGAATTTGTATTCAAATTTTTTTTATATTTTACTAAGTTGTTGTAGTGAAGGCTAAATATAGAGCCGAAAGCTTGGCAACTGTATAATACAGTGTATGATTCATTGAAGGACCACATACCCAACAACATTCGAAACCAGATTATAAACAAAGTTGGTCGATAACTGAATAACCTCACAAATCACATAGAAACACTGAAGATGGCGAACTCGTCATGTATAGGCTTCATCAAAAGATATTAATCCCCCACGTACACCGCAGAGAAATCTTACAATTTGATAGTACGCTATTTGAACAAACTAAAAAAACCTAACTAAATAAATTATTCTTTCTATGTAAGGTCTTGGTTGAGATAAAAAAGTCAGTGTCACAAGCGGGATTCGAACCCACGACTTTCGGCCTACCTTTTTATCTCAACCAAGACCTTACATAGAAAGAATAATTAATTGATAGAAGTAACTTGGTCAATTTACCACTAACACGTAAAATGAATTAACTAAATAAAAGAAAACTAAAATCTGATACTAGAGTACCCTTGGTGACCCTTCTTGAATACGTCTACAACAGGTAGGCACAACATACAACAGGTAGTATTTGTGAAATTTACCGAAAGAAATGTTAAGGGCTTTAAGAATGGCATATGTTCAAAAAGAACATTATAAAAGAGGTTAAACTGAAAAAAAATTCTTAACAACAGACGACCAAGCAGCCCTAAAATATTATAACGTAAAAAGGTCACATCCAAAGTAGTTCGGGAATGTATTGTGAAAACATAACAACCTGATAATATCTTGTTTGACAGGGCATAAAGGAGTTCTGAATAACGAACAAGCAGACAAATGAGCAAGAGGAAAATCTGCTACACCATGTATAGGTGAAGAACCCAGATTTGGGATAAGAAGATCAAATATACACTCATCCATCAAGAATGGATTAGGACAAATTGGGGTGGACAAATTGCCGAGAGACTCCAGATCCAGTAAACTGAGAGTAATCTTATTAAATTGTACCAACAAAATACTGAAAAGTGTACGATTTTATCGTAAATTTGCCTCAATTTTTTAAACAATCTTTAATAATTAGATATTAGAAAGGTACCAAAACTAATTTTAAAAAATCTCATTAATTCCTGGAACGAATGTGTCTATATGTAAAATAATCCTTTCTTATCCCCTAGATGAAAAAGTCAGCCTAATTTCAATATTTTCTAAATATTCATGTACCACCATAAAATTAATGACACCAAACGATAATAAATCAAAATATTTTCAATTTTTATTTATTTTTTTCCAGGAATATCTCACTTAAGTTTCCTTAGGGCAAATTAAACTAACGGACGACATAAACTTGCAAGTTTATAGACAAACGAAAAAAATATTACAGAAAGTATAAGGAAGAAAAAAGGAAATATTTTCTATAGATACGCAACGAATCGTCAATACCACTTTTACCACGATTCTCTTAGAAAAATCGGCGTGAAAAACAAATGAAATTACCGGAAAACTCAAAGTCATACGCTGGTTTTCCATTTTCCGTTATTCGTTTGTTTTTCAATTATGTAATGGTATCTACGTGGAATATTCGTTTTTATTGTTTATTAGCTTATATACAGACCATTTAGAATATTTTTTGAATTAACATGTAACTACCAAACAGTACAAAAATATCACTTGATTTTACTTTCCTGACACACAATATAAAAAATAGATTATATGTTCGTTTTGCCTAATGTACTGTACTTTAGAAAACAACTGAAATGTACTAATAGATGCGACACACGAATACTAAAAAGTAGATTAATTGTGTATCTCTTTGAACAACTTTAATGTTAAAAAAGCTCATTAAATAACATTTTATACTTATAATTATTTTTCGTTTTTTCTAAACGGCCAAACACATCATTTTAACAATTTATTATTTTGCAATAAAATTAGGTTAGTTTGTATATACTACTTTGTTGTACCATTGAACCTATTTAGGAAATTCGTTATTACACTAAAGGATAATATGAACCATTAAAATAAATAGGTTGTTGGTTTTTTGGAAATAAAATGCCAATCTTTTATGTGCCATATATTTCATTCACTTGTGCATTTCCGGCAACACGCAGGAATACAAATAACAGCTTTCAAGAGGGACAAGGATGTGGCCCGCAATGCATAAGTGAATGAGATACATCGCATATAAAAACTTGGTGTTTTAGTTCCAAAAACTAAAAACTAAAAATAATAGTCCCGAAAAATCAATCGATGAGTAGTGTGGGGACCAATTTTGGGTATTACATGATATGAGCATAAATCATTTTATTCGGTCCATTTGGCTCCGTAGGGTTTTCCTTGTTTTTCATTTAGACTTTCGATTATTGTGTCGAGCTTTGCTAATGGTTTTGTTTAAAGATTTTCGTTTATTTTGTGTAAAGAATTATTCTCCGGGTATGATATCGAGGTCTAACTACATTGCTCAAGAACGGATGTCATAGACGATGTCCTCCTCCTCCACGTATAGTCGACATTGGTTATCTGTTAAAACTGCTATTTTCTTAAACGTGGTAGTTTACTGTAGCATATCTCGTACCTTACGGATTTTAATTGCTTTCTGCTGAGTAGGATGTCCTCTCACNCTCACACACACACTCTCTCTCTCTTTCTTTATTTCTTTCTCTCTCTCACACACACACTCTCTCTCCCTCCCTCTCCCTCTCACTCTCTCACACACACTCTCTCTCCTCTCCCTCTCTCTCTCACACACATTCCCTCTCCCTCTCTCACACACACACTATCTCCCTCTTCCTCTCTCTTTCCCTCTCTTTCTCTCTTACACACACCCTCACTCTCTCTCTCTCCCTCTCACACACACTCCCTCTCCCTCTCTCTCACACACACACACTCTCTCCCTCTCCCTCTCTCTCACACTCTCTCTCTCCCTCTCACACACTCTCTCTCCCTCTCCCTCTCACACACACTCTCTCTCTCCCTCTCCCACACTATCCCTCTCGCTCTCTCTCACTCTCTCTCTCTCTCTCTCTTTCTCTCTCTCTGTCTCTCTCTCTCTCTCTCTCTCTCTCTGTCTGTCTGTCTGTCTGTCTCTCTCTCTCTTTCCCTCTGTCTCTCTCTCTCTCTCTCTCTCTCTCTCTCTCTCTCTCTCTCTCTCTCTTTTTCACTAAAGTACACTCCTCAAACAGATGTATTAGCATGGTGATAACTATAATTAAATGGATAACTATATAAATGATAACCATCACAGCAATTCAATACATTTTCACACGATGCCCCAACAACACTAGAATTATAATTACTATGTTAATCGATTCATATTAAAAGTTTTCAAACATTCCCTCTATAATATAATTTATAACCAAACACCTACTTATAGAGAAGTAGTAGAAAAAAAAACAATTATTTGTTAATTTTATCTACTTAGCAATGTGAATTGCGTTCTCATTACTAGACAACAACAATGTGAATAGTCGCAAAACAGCTAGTTTGTTTATTTAGCATTGTCTGTTTACATTAAAATGAATATTTGACTACAAAAATAATAAAAGGTGGTTGCGCGGCAGTCCCTGCCACTTTTCACGACTTCTGTGCATACTTCATACTACGTTGTAAAAAACATAAACCCATTTAAAATAATAATAAAAGCTAAATGATTGGCCAGGTAGTTTAATTTGAATAAGATCTTTGAACTTTGGGTGTTATTTTACAAAAATAAATTTACAAGTTAAGTTGTTAAAGGTAAATTGACAGTAAGAGAGTTTATTTTTATTGTTGCTTTGCCATTGTGACGAAGGAATGGGAAAGCATACATTTTCAATCACACTTTGCATGGCCTGCTCACCGAAAACCTGTTATTTTGAGTTACGTTACTACTAAACTGATAAACCGGATTTCATCGTAGGCATGTTGCTCCTAGGTTCTACTTAAGCCAAAGAGTCTAAATTTACTGATGAAATCAAGCTTCCATTAAATAAAAATAATGTTATTCTCAATTATGTTTTCACTTTCTAATTTATCGGATTGTGTCCCAGTGAGTAGAATTTTACTCTCGTGTAACCTGTTTCAGTCGGCTGGCCAAGAGCTTCAGTGATATTTTACAGTTAGAAATAGGTCTTGTAACAATAAACAGTCGTAGTCGATTAAAGAACATGTCAAAGAATTCGTTCGTTGTTGCTAAAAAGAAAAATTTTAAACAATATTTTTTCTTCTTTTAATCAAAGAGCGTCAAAAAATATCAAAAGTTGTACGACTTCATCTAATTATGTACGCGTATTGCCCTAGCATTAGGAAAAAGAAAACAGGAAGGAAATTATCATTGAGAAAAGAGCTAAACTCTTCTCTATCTTCTAGGAAAATCTAGAAGTTAATACAAATGGATTCGTACAAATGAGAGTTGTGTAAAAAAGGATTTTATAGTTCACTTGAGCACTTCTATCATTATTTTCAAACCAGGACAAAACTTTGGGAGATGAATAGATCGATGTAATGAATGTAAAGGATTTATGAAATAATGGGTGGTTATTACATACTTCTATAAAAAATATATCTATTATTTGGTCTTGATCTGTGAAAAGAAATTGTTATATTTTCTCTTGGTAATGGAGATTTTGTCATGCCTCACACTCTTTTTAACGCAGAGACCAGTTAAGACGGCGAGAAGCCAAAGCACGTATGAACAATCGCGAGAATATTGGAATGAACAAACTTAAATTAATTGTTCTCAATACCTAAAACTAATTTTATTCAAACTTGATTGCATTAAACGGGAAAATGATGAAATAATTATTAGATAAAATAATAAAATATACATAACAATTATGTATCAAGATGAAAAGAAAACGGAAGAGCATTTTCGACGTTAATTAAAATAAACAATCTAACAGATTGATATGATGTTGAAGATTCTTTTGCTGGTTTGGCTTACATAATAATAATAATAATAATATGTAATTCTGTGTTTCATAGTTACCATTACGCGAAAATATTAATTGACTAACTTTGAATTTCTGTTAAAAACGTGTAGAGATTATTTTATTTTTATTTAGGACGTCGTATATTACCATATATAGAGCCAAATAGAGGAAGGTCAAGT